GCTGTGAGCGTTTTGCTGCTTTGTCATCGCCGACTTCATCGCCCCAAATGTTGCCGAGAGGAGGGTCTGCTTCACCTTCTCTGCGTCACAGCCCCTCACCTGACCCCGCTGGTGGGCTAGGGAAGCCCCCAAGACCTCGCAGGCAACAACAGTACCGTCGGCTTGGTGGTGCCGGCTTCAGCTCGTCAACTCCTCATCTCGTGCAGAATCCAATGTGTTGTTCTACGCAAAATTTCCCGTCACCTTACGTTCATCATGGCGGCCCCGCCATGAGCCCGTTACGTGGCTACGATATGATAGACTGTCTCACCGCTAACTGTTCATTTGATAATCAACACAGCAGTACGACAGCTCTTCATGCGCATCCATCGTGCTCTGATAGCAACGCACCGAGGGAGAACCTTGCTCTTTTCAATGCCGAGGCTGTAGGTATGGCGTATTCTGCTGAAGATGATAAATTGAAGCCTGGTGTTGGTCATCGTAGTCTGTATAAATGTATGAGAAACTTGCTCATGCCTAACCAGTAAAACAAATTCTCTTGGAAAACTTGCTCAATTTTCTGTGATTATGTTTAGAAAACGAAATAAAATGCCCCTTCGTGAGTTTAAGCGGTAACTAATAATCAGACAAGTGTATAGTAACGCCTTACCTCATGAACTGATTCTATTACATATGTTTTTAAGAGTATTAAACCAGCTCGTAGTTGCTAAGAAAGTGCCTACTACTGAAATATCAGAAAATGATTCTGGGTCGCAGCGACAGTGTGAGATGTACTGAGTAAAAATTTTGAATAATGGGAGCTTCAAATTTTGGCTGCTTCCGCCAATCACTGAAAAGTTCGTCGTTGATGGAAGTTTGTTGGGCACCACGAACATAATTAGTACGAGCTGAACACATGAATTAGTACGAGTTTAATGATCACATGTGAGCTGGTGAAATTTTTGTGAGCGCGTGCTGTTCTTCTGATGTCCTTAAGCGGACCTTCATTTAGCAATAGGTATCAAAACTTGCATCATATTTTCAAATTCTTGAAGTAAATATCAAGAATTCTGAAGATTGTAAGCAAGACAGCAAGTACTTTCTGTCACTTCGTCTTCACTGTCATCTATTTCCTTCTGAAAGGTGAGTGCTGATACCTCTTATAGATTTTATTTGTATGCTTACCATACCTCTTCAAATACCTAATCAAACCCTACCATACCTAATCAAACCCTAATTGATTGCTTGATGATAACCATGCAATGATTACTTAATGATTACTATAAATTCCTGATTAATGATTAATTTTTACATTAAGTTCCCTTTAAATAAAACAGCGTAATATCTTAATGATGTCAAATGTGTTTCAAGTTGAGATGAGTAAGTTTCTTCGTAGTGTTGTTTTATTAAAATGTTGGAATGTTTTTAACTCTTTGACATCGATTTAAGAACTCAATTATCTCACCAAAATTTTACTCGGCATGACCTCTTGATGTTAGTTTGTCCAGTTGGCTGGAGTTTGTCCAGAACTCCAGCAATGTAACTATTGACAATATACATTAGTGGCAGTAAGAAATTAGCTGTGCCCCTTCGGTAACATATGATTACTGGAGTGTCCGATGTTTCGCTCATATATTTTATTTTTGACTTCAAATTTACATGGCATTGTTTCAACGTTTGTTCAGCCATACTTGATGCGTCTATTACACGTACTTACTGTAAATTATGTACTTGAAATTCCTTTCAAGAAAGTGGACTCGGTAGAATCGAGTTTATTTCACTGTGCTATTTAAAACAATGACTTCAATCTTAGAACTTTTGTTCCCATATCGTTGACGCTTTGAGGTAAGATTATTTATATATGTTGATTTCCAAAGTAATTTGCATTTACAATCGTTATACGTTACGTACTTTGCTTTGCAATTGTGACAGAGTATTGATCTGCGAAGTCTGGCCCTTCTTTAATTAGGGAAGGGACGAGTAAATTTTTTTTTGTATTCAGGTATTTGAGTTACAGCAAGCGGTTATTGATTGGTTGCTTGCTGTGATCAATGATCATGTATAAGATAACTTATATTCTCGCGTACATTCGGCACTGCAGAATGTTTTCATTTTCATGAGACTTATATGAGCTGTTAATTTTCTATAAAACATTATAATTATAATTCATCCCCGAATTGAAATATGGAGAACTGAGTTCTTAATTTAGCTCAGTCTCCCTGAAAGGACCTGACGCCCCCACCCCAGCCGAAGCTCTTGCCACTCCCGGAGCCCGCAGCGCAAGAGGGCAACACACAAGGCGTGGCCTCAGTCATGTTCGGGCTAGGCTGCGCGACGGTTGATAGCTGCCACGCATGTGCGTGCACTTCATTCGAAAATATCCGTTATGTGTACTGAAACTGTATACGATTCTTTTGTGAATCGTATTCAAATGTTCTAGCCGGAAATTTTCCTTGGTGTTTTACTTTTTAAATCGTTTGTTACCACAGATAACTTCAAGAATATACGCGTAATTCCGTTCATACTGATAAATTTTTCATTCATTCCATCAAAAAGTCTAGGCCTACTGACTTGCTGTGCTGAGGAATTATGATTGCGCTCTATGATTTTGCGTTTTCTTCATGATGTTTACCTTTGCATGCTGCATTCAAGTAACTTATAGTGTTCACTTTTTTCTGCCGTTAGGGCATGGCTAGTTCCATAGTTAATGCTTCTGTACCTTCATTCTCTATCAGCGAAGTGCGACGTAGACACGAATTGTAAATTTTTATTTTGAAAACGTAACTCAATATTTTAGCACGGATGTTAGTTCTGTTAATACAATATTTTAAGTGGTTCAAATATTACCGTTAGTGTTGAATCACAATGTTATGAGCGAAGAGCAGCAGGTAGATGTGAAGGAAATAAATGCATCAAAATGATCCATTAGGACCTCCTCTGTTGTTAGTAACTATTACCTTTTATTATTCTTTAGTGGAGTTCAACCTAAATTCGTTACAGTAATATTAAAATTTCTCATTAATTTAATTATGAAATACTTTATGATATGAAATATGATACAGTTGAGGACATCACTGATAAATTATCAATCCACTATCATGTTATCATTAGATGCTAGAAACGATCATATCAGTGCTGACTGTAATAATAAAGCGATAATAAGCATATTTGGATGAAATCAGATAAATAGCAAGGTAGGCTGGCCGCGTCTTCTTTCCTCACAGTTCCTCTGTCTAGTCTCCCCTCGTGGCTTATCAGGCGCGTGGTGATACCGACGCTTGCTCTGCCGCGCAATGTGTGAGCTCTATTTAGCGCTCGCCAAATATTCTGCGTGCGCCTTCAACAATATGATTGATGAGAGACTTCGTTTATAGCAGGAAAGACGTAAATAATGACATCTACTCGTGATCGATGTCGTTCAAACGTTATTTGCCTAGCGTAAGATGTTTCGAACGTATTTGAGCTTCATAGTGTGTCATCTCATTTTATAAAATTTGCCGTGACCAATGTGCGTGATTTATGGGAATTTTTTTATTTGTACAGAAATCAAATTTCTAAAGTGCCTTAGTTCAAAATTACTTTGTTTCTGGAGAGCGAATTTTTGTTTGGTACTGTGCTGAAACTTTTATTGTTCATCAACGAATACTGCATTCATCAAGACGGATCGAATTATAGAGAACTTTTTTGACACACACACTCTTCTTCCCGACACTAACAACGAAATAACACATTCACATAACCTTCGTGCCGACGATAACAACGAAATAACACATTCACATAACCTTCGTGCCGACGATAACAACGAAATAACACATTCACATAACCTTCGAGCCGACGATAACAACGAAATAACACTTTCACATTACCTCCGAGCCGACGACAACATTGACGGAGTGCGCACAGAAGATTTTACTTCATTACCCAGCGCCGACCAAGTAGTGGGAAGTCCTGTGTGTCCTGATGAGACTGAAGTCTCCTCATTTCTTAGTATTTTACCCGCAGAATTACATTCTGGCCCATTGAAGAATGACAGTGACGATAGTATAATTTTGGGCCAACCACTTTCGAGGTGCAAATCGTACTCTCTATCTCGGAGCTCGTTACGCCTGGTTTCCGACAAGCCTTGGACGCAACTTGCCGATCAAACAAAACCTTTTCTTCTAAAAAAATCAAAATCTACTCTAAATTTTCCGGCCCAACGACAACGAACCAAGAAAAATAAGACCGACAGTAATGAATCAGAGTCTCCGGTTAAATGTTCAGTTGTGGAGGATAAATGCAATGCTGAAAAATTATGTCAGTCTTTTATGAATGAACCAAGTCCAAATGAGTTCTTTTTGCGTTCTGTTTCATCATTTCCCGATCAAGCCAGTCCATTCGATGCCGAATTAATTTCATTGGATGACATTTCCATTGAATCTAATGCGAATATAAAAAAATCCTCATGTTTTAGACAAAATTTAAAGTCAATTTTTCCATCATATGTGAATGAAACTAAATCATCAAAAAATTTCTTTAATTTTTGTGATGGTGCAATTATTCCTTCCGATGAAAGTTCAGCCAAGCCTCCTGATGATTCGGCTTTCCGTGTTGGCTATTCTTCTCAAGATTTGTCGACTCGACTAGGAGAATATTCACCTACCTCGTCTACTGACGGCTTATCATCATTCAACGAAGGCGACTCAACGTCCTCCAGTGAGGATAGCTTTGAAAACGCGTTTGACTGTAGCTTTGCTCTCAGTGTTCGAGTCGTTGACTTGGACCACTCGGACTCATTGGACAATTGGATTTTGGTCGATGACACCTCATCTTCGAAAGGAGGTGAACAAAATTTAGATCAGACAAGTCTTAACTCTCGGTCATCTGCCAAAATTCCCGAGGAGGCCCATCTTTCAGCTCTTGAAGAAGATAGTAACGACCAGAAGATTCATTCTGTGCCTATGGAACTTATGGACGAAATCATTTGTGAATTAGACAAGAATTCAAAAATCAAAAGTATCGATGTGGTCAGCTGTTCTAATCATAAAATACTGGATGTTAACAAGTCACAAAACGAATTTCAATTGAAAGATATTGATGAGGCATCCTGCGCGCCAGAGCAATCTTCCCACACGGCATTCAATGGTACACGTATTCATGAATCTGAAGCTGCGATCCCTTCAGAAGCTGTCAATGGTGCAAACTTTGATCATATTTCCTGCCCGTATCTGTCAGAAGAAGGTCTCGACAACTTTTCTGTAAATGCAGCAACAAACGATGAAGATCCTGGTGACGACGATCTCGAAGAAAGTGATGGTACTGCCAGTACCGTGGTTGAAGTCCTCCAATGTACCAGACAGGAAGACACTTTGAGCGACGATGATGAGGATGATAGCCAAGGAAACAGATCTGATCGAGGGAATGACCTGAACAACTACGCTGAAATTGGTGCTGTATCGAGCACTGCATCTTTCACCAAAGACTTGTTGAAGGAAATAGCCGTTGGTGGTTCGGCCGACGTGTTTGGTTTCTCCTCTGATATCGGTTTGGTCGTCGATGTAGAAAGCAATCATTCGGCAGAATCTACTGTTTCTGTTTATCCAGACGGTATCGATACCAAAATGGGTCATGTTCGTGAGGTAGCTAAGCAAAATTCTTCAGACTCTGAAAGCGTCAGTACTTTAGATTCTGAAGACAAGACTGCATTGAGCGGCGAAACTTTAAGCTTGAAACTTCGTGAATCTGCAAACAAGGACTCGCTTATTGCCAAGTTGAGTGTACCTTATATACAATCGGATCAAAATTCTGCTCAGAAGTGTGCTGTTCTGGATGTGAAAAACGATTATTCTGTAACTAATATAATCACCAATGAAATACAAAAGCCTTTGCCATTAACTTCGAATTTTCCGTTATGTACATCGTCTAGTGGATCAAGCTCGAAGCCAATTAGTGTCTTGACAAATTCCCGACCTCTCGTCACAGATGCTAGAAGATATTACCCTAATTCTTACGGGAAAATTCATACAAGTACATTATCATCCCATTTAAATCAGTCCATTGAGGTCAAACGAGACTTTAGTATTCCTGTTGCTGGTAAAATCTCCACTGATGTCCCGCTATTAGGTGCGTGCATCCCTGAAAGTCGAGTAGAGACAACCAGCAACAACGATGCTGAGGCATCAGTCATCGAGAGACCGTTGGACAGAAAGCCGTCGAACTTAGAGAACAGAAAAGTTCCTGTCGTGATTAACGATGAACATTTGGCAACTGTTCAAGATTCTTCTCTACGTTCTGTGGAAATAAAGAGACCCATGAGCTTCATGAGTGAGTGTTTCGGTCCAAAAATCGCTAGCAGCCAGCGAGGTGTAAACATTCGAAAATCCGTGCCGGATTGCTCGTCCGCGTACTTACAGTCGATTAGTTATCTTACTGGAAATCAGAAAACTATAATTGGTGATGAGGAACGAAGTTCTGGTGATGGTGCCACACAAAAGGACGAACTAAGCACGACAAAATGCAATGACGTCGAATTTTCCGATTCGATGGTGGATGATGATGGCTGTGGTCATAAATTTAATAATGGACACACTGATGACGACCGCGGCGATGTTTTACACCCAACAAGTCCACCTGGCGTTGCAAAATTTATTCATCGAGACGAAAAAGCTTCCTCAGGAACTAATTGTAGTGAAGAAAACTCGAATTCATCCGTTAACGGAGTCGCCTTGACGGATGAACATGTTCCCCTACGTTTGAAAACTAGTGATTCTTCTGCCAACAATTTTCGTTTTTGGACGACTCTTTCCGCGCATGCAGCACAGTCTTGGAAACGGAAAAGCGTTACCGAAAGTTCTCCTGTTGAAAGCGGAGCATTGGATGAAAAAATCTGTGTACCACACATGGTTCCATCATTAGCTGGCGTATCACGTGAAAATTATCGGTCGAAACGGTCTTCGGAGGAGAAAATACAACCTGTTGAAAATATTGATAAAAAATTTTGTTACGTTTCTAGAGAGCTTGACAAAGACTTCAAATCAAAAAATAAGAGTTTGCCTCGTAGCATTTTAGGTTTCCCGAAAAAGTCTTCAACGAAGTCGAAATTTAGTTGGTCCTCGTTCAAAAACCCTCTAAAGATGAAAGTTGGTAGCAATCTTACGCAAACTGGTTCTGTTGAATCTAACGTGGCATCTGATACTCCTACTTCTTTCGAATCAGTTTTTTTCGACGATACTTCATCCAACGAAGCCTCCTCAGATTCTGATTTTAAAGCATCACGAGGTTTCGCTGAACTGAACGTTGACAGCCTGCGTTCGAAAGTAAAGACGGGAGTGACAGCCACCATCCGTTCTCTCTCTCGCGAGTCTCCTGATATGAAGCCATCAGCGCAGGCCAAGTCTTACATCAGACATCGACCAATTTCTTCTGGTTTTCCGAACCCTGCCGATGATTCAGATTCGAGCGCTCATTACCGCAATTCGGTCGTTCTCAATGTATCTAATTACGGACCATTTTCTGCTTCACTTGTGAATGTTCCGAAAAATTATTGCGCAATCGAAAACTATGACTCATGTCATGCGAACTCCGAAACGAGAAATAGCCATATATCTTTGCCTGTTAATCGAATATCTTCCGAAATAGAAAGAGGCGTTCAATCTACGGTCACGACATCCGGCGAAGGTCTCTTAACTTCTGAACTGACGAGCAATGCTAAGAATTACAACACTGCAGGTAACTATGTTAATGTATCTTCAACTAAATGTTCGTCTTCTTCGCTGTCGGAAGAACCAACTCTTCAAGAACCTTCGTTGGCCGAGGGTATAGAGTCCTTCATGGACTCCGTCTTCGGCTCGAAAAACTGGTCCTCCAATTTCTCGCAGGAACAGCTATCAGCTGTGTCTCATTGTCAAAATTTGAACAACACTACCTTGTGCGAGAGAAGAGAAACGTCCCAGAACTCGCCGGCAGATAATAACAATAACGGGAAATATCTGCGAGCAATACCTCCAGTTTCTGCCGGTTTCATGGCGTCTGATTCCTGGGCGATTAAAAATTATTGTGGAAAAAGTAGCGACGTAGCGAAAAACAGAGTGCACTGTCGTACTACCACCACAAATTCGGTGAAAACTGTCTCGTCGTGCGGGCATGACTCTTGGAATGGTGCAAGTTCATCTGGATCGAATTTTCATGGCAATGGTTCCAATTTGCCTTGTAAATTGAAACATCCAACCACACATGTGGGAGATGCCACTCACATAAATGGTAATTCTAAAAATAGCGAAACTGTTGCGGAAAACGTTTCACTGTTGAACGATTCATGTTCGTTTGAAAATCCACGGACCAACGCTGCAAGTCTCCATCCCTTTGATAGTTTCAATAACTCTCCGCCCCATGACGGGACACACCAGATTGCGCCAAGGACTTCTATCCACGTTTACCACAATTACGACGTTGAACGATCTAGACGCCGGGACATCGCGTGTCCAAGATTCGAAGGAGCACTTCAGCCCCGCGTGAAGGATATCAAGTCTGAGCAGAGCGTCGCTCAGCAACCTCAGGCAAACTTGCATCTTATTGGGAATGAACATGCAGGTATGAAGTAGCATTATTTTGAACGGATCTTCGAAATTGAAAACTCGCTGAATAATTATTTAATTTTGATTTAAAATGTTTTTTTTTTAATGAAACAGCGACTGCATTTTGTATTTGTCTGCTCTAGGTTATTTTGCCTCGTATAAAGTTTCAACTCTGTGATTGAAAACATCTAAACGTTTTTAGAATGTTAAAAAACTGAAAATAGATTGCATAAATATGAGTATATTGTTATTCCAACCCTATATTTCTCAAAGTCTCTATTCTGTTCTTGCTATTCTTTATACGTACTTCTTGCGACTACCTTATAGATCTCGATCTTTCAATACATTTTAATATTTCATAATCTTTACTCTTATTGTAGTTCTCACACGTTCTTTTTCCTTGAACCTGCATGCTGTTTCAAATCTGTCAGTTCCTCTACAGCCATAACTGAAAATCGCTAAAATTTGAACATCTGTCTAAAATTTGCGTATTTTATTCATATATCAGTAGATTTAAATCGCCTAACTAAAAAATTGACTATAACTGTCAAGAGGCCTAGTTTCTCTTGAGCGTTCAAGAAAAATATTTAAATCTTTCCGAGAAATTCGGCTTTGAAAGAAAAAAAATCTGAGAAAATCGCTTTGGACCGTCTATGAGGCATTGTACGGTGGCTCAGATATATCTTTTCTGATTCAGTTTTGTAAAAAGATTCCAGATATTTCCAACTGGATTTTAAGGACAGTGCGCTTGCAGATTTACAGCTAAACAGATGATGTTGGTTGATATCCTTCAGATGACGTACGTTGGTTGATCAATATGCAGAATAAGGAAGTAATTTTGATTTATTAATGACGTTTCGAATGTAACCAAATTCATTTTCAGGTTATAGGAAGCATTGAATACAGACTGAAATTTTTGGGGAATTAAGTACATATAATAGGATACAACACGAAAATTTGGAACCGTGAAAATTACTCCGAAACCATCTCAAAGCTTAGAAAATCCGGCAGTTATGAGATGGATATCTGGGGCCATACTTTCAAAACTCACAAAGTGAACGCAAGTACTTACGCTCTATTTTCTTGTCTATGATTTTGTGGATTGTGCTTGAAAGGCCGTCAATGATTGGCTGATGAACTTACGATCTCTTACCTTTTTTAGAAAGTATGGGCCCAGGAGTCCAATGCGTAAAGATGAGGGCTGTAGCTATCGTCGGCCGGATGATGTCGGGCCACTGCAAGATGACGATGTTGTTGGGTTCCTCCAGCGCAGTGCACGGTTCCAAAGTTTCGTGTTGCATAATATTCACGTGTATCATGTACTTATTTCCCCCAAAATTTTTGTCTGTATTCAATGCTAACTACAACCTGAAAATGATTGATGTTGCACTCGAAACGTCGTCAAAATTAGTAACTTAAACTTGCATTTTGATCAACTAACGTCATCTGAAGAATATTAGTCACTCGAGAAGATTTAAATCCATGACTTCTCTGGTCATTAACGGCCCTTGTTTATACAAGCTTATTCTGCCGTCTAATACTAATTTACAGATGAATGGCTTGATTTTGGCAAGGTTTTCGAGTTTGTCTGGCCAGCCGTTGCTGTTTATTCGCACTGGGTTTTGCTCATGTTCTGTATAGGCTGTCAATGGACCCGCATGTTGTGGACGCTGGGCTTGTACCTTAGTTGTTCGTATTAGTGGATTCCTTCACTTCTCAGCAATGACCATAGAGAAATAGCATAACCGAGTCTATTCGTTCTGAAGGAAGGGATTAGTATGATGTTACTTTATTGCTTCAGACGATGGTTAACTCACATTTTATATGAAGATTTTTGTTTCATCATCTGTTTCTTGGATCAGGTTTAATTAATATTTATTTTATCGTTTACAAAACAAATGCCTTTGTATGCAAGAAGAAATTGATATTGACGTCAGCTTTGATACTATTTTTGGGCTTGGAATATGCCAAAACGACGTGAACAATAACTCTAATTGATTGGTTGCCAAAATCTTCGTCAGTTCACCTTTCAATATAAAAAGGTTTCAGTTGATTTCGTAACCTTAATGTTTATTTCTCGTTACTTGGGATAGAAGGATTTATTGTACATAAGATCTCTTAACGTAAACTTGACTCGATTATTTATCGGATACCCACGTTTGCATCACATACTGATAATAAGGATAAGTTTCAATGTCGTATACGGTTCAAAAAGTTGCGCTAAGGTGTTGTACCAAAATGTCAGTTAACTGCCTTGCAAGTCTTACTTCAAACCCGTAGCCGGGAGTATATAAGCACTGAGCCTGTAAGTCCCTTAGTAGGAGAGTAAACAGACCGGACGCTACCTGTCAGAAGACTCGTTCTCTGATGAGCATTCTGAGCTGCCACCCTCGCAAGAAATCTAAGGGAAGAACTTGCTAACGGGCGTTGTGCCCGATAGTTATATTATTTCATAGAAGTTAATGATAGAAAGTAATAGTGTAAAGTTGTATAAATTTGTCATGCTTCAATGTGGCCTGTTGTTACTCTATTAGTTACAATATGTGAAGACTAAACAATCGATCCCAATAATTGGTACTACCAAAAATCCAAAGTGAAACATTACAGAAGCAAAATTTTGAAATATCGGGACGAATACCTTTGATTATTTTGAATTTATTGTGCAAGTGTCAGTCTGGTTTTATGAGAAGAGGAACCAAATGAGGGGTGTGCGCTAGAGGGAAGCGGCGGAAGGGTTTTTATGAGGACGAGCCCTCGACGTGTGCTATACGGCGGAGGCTATGGTCTATTTTTGCTCAGGGTGTGATGGGGCAGTAGCAGCGCGCAGAAGAAGCGCAGTAATATTTCGAATAAGATGGATGATTCAGTTGATGTGAGGGCAAAATTCAGATGCGAGGACTAAAACCGTGGAGAGGACAATCTTACGGACCTAGTTCTTGGCGAGGCCAACGACAGCACATCGGTTTAAATGCGCACGAAACGAACACAGATACGCGCATGAAAATTTTCCTTCAAATTCCTTCAAAGCCCCATTCATATTTAAATAACGTTGGCACCGGCCGACATACACCGCATGCAAATTCTTTTCATCGATTTGAATGACATCGTGGGAGATTATTAAGAGAAGCAGCATTCTAGTGCTGACTACCTAGTTGTTCGCACAATTAACTCGCGGTACGGAGAACTATGATGAAAATTATTCAACCAACGTTAAAAATGGCTTATCCTAATTTCACATTGGTGAAAACGGTTCAACAATGCAATTTAACTATTATTTCATTTCAGAGTTGCATGATATGTACAACTAAATACAGCAGCTCTTCACTTTTTTGGAGGCAAGAAGGGAAACACTTTTCTTCACCTTATTCCTTTCGAGGCAAGAAGCTGCCCTCCCTTAAAGCATTTCGGACCAGTGTCGGACTTGAGAGCGTTCAATGCTTAGCATTCTTTGTGGCGTAGCTGTTAACTGCAGCTTTTTTGTTCTGGCCAGAAGACTTGCTGTTTAACTTTGCGTTACAGAACAATTTGTTGGCGCGAACTCCTGTTTAATTATCAACATGCCGTGCAAAATAGTGAGAAGTTTATGTTTTATTAGACTTCATTTGTTCCCGGCTTGCATTGTTCTGTCATCAAGAATAGGTACATGAAGCTGTGTTGCAATTCTGCTAACATTTATTTTTTCCACAAATCTTTTGTTCGAAGTTTACTTCGTAAAGGCAGTAGGATTGTAAGGTGTTGGTCTCGTTTGAGCTGTTGGTTAGATTTTTCGATCTCATCGATAATTAATTGATTATCGTGACAGGAATTCGCTGAACTGTCATTCGCTGGGTCTTGCGTGTGGTATCAAAATGTCACAACATTGGTGCGCAGGTAAACTTCCATGTGTTTTTCATACTTTATTTGCCAATTATGAAACTTGTCCTGATAAATTCTAAATTATTTCGATAAACATACTTCTCGCCATGATTTAGCAGCTTTTGTCAGGTGATGAATGTGACAGGAGATCAAATGAAAACATCGCTGTGCTGACTGAGCCAGCCCGGAGTTTGTTGACGTTAGCCTGCTTATAGAATGTTTGTACTCTGAGACCTGGTGAAGGCCTTGCTCTTTATTTACGATCACTTCTAGTGTCTAAGTCTGAAACACCGCAGAGCTTTATGTTCTTAATGTTATGATCAGTATATGTGATTAATATTCATGGTATCACCTGAAATCGTACATTCACATATGATTTGCAGTTTTGAATACCTTGAAGTCAAGCGAAGTCTGCAGACGTTTACATTTTTTGAAGTTTGGCATAGTATTGGCTGAAAATTCTTCAGAAAACGGTTGCACTTCATGAAGTCTGCGGAGATTGCTCCTCAGATTTAAGTATATCGCCTCTCTTCACTGTTCTGTTGCAATCTGGAAATTACGATATTACAGCTGTTCGAATGAATTATTCTATTTGTGATTGAGTTGCCATTTAATTTCAGCTGAATTGCGCTGATCTAAACGGTATTGCGTTGACTCGGGCATGTCTTTACAATTCATTAGCCCAATATCGGAATGAAACTGGGCTCTATTCTAATTTCCTTTAGGAAATATCGAAAGGAATTCCTAATTAATTCTAATTTGTACTCTAGTTTCTTTTAGGAAATTAGAATTTACTTAAGGAAATTAGAATTTGTTCTTTGGTATTGAACTGTATAATTTTTTATTTTGTATTGGAACACTTCGTTGTAATTAATTTTGTGTTATTAATCTGTATTCCAATTAATTTACTTGAATAAGGAATAAAAGTTAGTTTCGTCTGATCTTGACGAGAATTCAAGTTGCTCAACCGCATTTTCTTACTGAATGACCTCAGTGGCTCACTAGTCGTCGTGGCGTGTGGACGTGCGGCATCGCTTTTCTCTAGTGATAGACTGAATTGGTGTCTTTCTATGACAATAAATTATTTATGGAAGTGTTGAATTTACTATTTCAGTGAGAATGTCATGACCAATGTTCCTGTCAATATTGTTTTCTTGAAACGAATATTCATTCTGTTAAAGTTACAACTGAAGTGGCGTGAAATGATCATTACTTTTAATGTAGGTACTATTATTTTCAGTTAGTATTCTACTTGTTTTGTTATTCCAGTTGCCAGTCAGTTTGCTTGTATCTCATTGAGTTCATAAATAAGTCACGGTGATAGCTATTTGCCCAATATAGGTTCATCGACACTTTTTTGGTTGTGTATATGAAACACGATATACCGTATCATCAAACTTTAATGCAAGTTGGACCTAAGATCTAGAATTATCTGAACCCATGATAAAGTGTCCTTTTTATATCAATGGAAATAAAATAATGAATTTACAAAACTACACTTCCATAAGCGCGTATATCCGCTTCAATAAGGGTGGATGAATTACGATAAGAAACGTATGCTACAGACGTGATCGCCGCTTTATGGCCAGTTGGGTGAATGAGGCCAGGGTGTTAACGATAGTTTAGTGAGGCCAGGGTGTTATTGAGGCCAGTTGGGTGAATGAGGCCAGGGTGTTAACGATAGTTTAGTGAAGGGAGTGCGAGGCGCGTGCCAAGCTGTGCAGGTGTGCTGCCACTGACAATCTTGTCTATCTTTATTACCTATTCGGTGCCGGTAATTCTTGCTAATATCTTTGTTCGGTTTCCTGCTCAAGCGAGTTCATTTATTGCTGCAAGTGTATATTAGGTTGAGGGGCGAAAAAGCTAGAATCGGAATTTATATGCGAGGTGAATTGTTGCCATTATGTGTATAATTGAATTGGCGATATCAGCGATATCATCAGACAGAACTTAATAGATCAGTTAATTATGAACAATTAATCACATTGTATGCCCTCTAAAACAAATAATTGACGAATTTTTAAAGACGATTTATGGTATTTTATTTGATCTGCACTGAAGGCAGATCAAACAATTAGTCTGTTGGGACTGTCGGCTGCTGTGCTATCAGATGATTCATTGGTGCCTCATATACTCGCGGCCTTGACAGCCGATGCTTTGCTTCCGATAACAGAGGTTTTGCAGAAACTTGTATTATTTCTTGTGAAAATGCGATGTTTTCTATATATTGAAGTGCATTAATTTGATGCTGTTGTGATGTTAACTTGTGCACCCAGTTGATATGAATTGTATATAACTTTGAAATCGTGACTTCAATGCAAATTAAATTTAATTATACAATTCAACTTTTTCCAACTTACTTCTGAGTTACATCGCATCGTTTGCATTGCCTGCTGTTCCATTTAAACTCAATGACATTCTAAAAATTATATTTACCACAAAGCCAATTATAACCTTGGGTCGTTTCGATGGTCGAGGTCGGGACAGCCAATATTGGAAGTGTGACTGGTGACTACACGGCTGAAGATGCGTCACTTTGGCTCCCACTCAGTATCGTTGCCAAGCCACTCGGGGCATTTAGTGACCATAATTTTATGTCGTTTTGGGACCTGCATTCCTGAGCAAAATAATGTTCATGTGCCAAATGCAGACTCGTGTCGTGCAAATTCATTGTTCTCTCCTGCGGTATTCGCTGTACTATTAGTGCGCTTGGAGGTTGCTATGAACAGTAGAGCAGTTTTTTTGTCAGTTTAAATTTTGTTTGATGTCGTTTCGTTGAATTGATTACACAGTTTGGCACGTTAAGCGTAGCTTACGATCATTGCTCCATTAGTTGAAGGGCTTTGTGTGTTCGTGGCTTGAGTTTTTTGATGCGGTCTAAAATATAGGTCTCTTTAAAAAGGAAATGAAAAAAATCCTCTTTTTAAAGTTATATCCCTAAAAAGCGTTTCTTTCCCGCAGCATCGTAATGTCTGGTAATATTAATTGCGATGCAGCATACAGAAAAAAACTGATCAATGTAAAATTTTTAAATTTTAGAAGTTTTTACACCGTTTTGACGACGTAATACCAATCCTTATTTATGTATTGCTGACTATTTCCTCGAACCACAGTTCGCCGTTCTGCCATTTTAGCAATAATCTATAATCTATTTTTCACATCTGAGTCTGTGCCAGAAGTGAAATAAACTCAAAATTTAATTCGTTATGTGGTTGGCAGTAATTTGCTCGCTTCTCGAATACGGCTCTGCTTCTTACGTAACATGGAGTAATAGAATCTGGTAATCCGCGTGTTAGCTGTATATAAAATACCTGAAGAAATTACAATTATTTTACTAAGAATGAATTTTTTATATCCATGCCTTTAGAACATTTTGAACCGTAGTATGTCTACCGACCACACCATATGCTCATGGATTCAGTTCCAACGGTGTTCATGATTTGAAAACGAAATAAAGCGCTAAAGTGACTCTGCCCTTGATGCCAGTACCGAGTGTTACGGCGTCTGTTGAAAAGACGCCAATTATAGACGGCAGCATGTCTCCTGACCGCGACCAGCAGCACCCACGGAACTCCTCGTCTCCTCATATTGCCTCGTCACACGTCCTTCATCAGACTTCATGTGTGTCTGCCGTGAACCCTCGACACTCGCCTTCGTCATGTGTTGGGTTACCGCCACAGTCTCCTTTGTCTCGTCCAAGATCGATGCTGCAGCGCGCGTTATACTCACACTTGCCAGCATCTCCCTTGCTCATTGAAGATTCTTCGCCTCGCCGAGGCTCCCGGCCAGGCCGTCAACTCGAGCCCACCCTCCGACAACATCTCAACCGGAAACCCGACAACCGGTGTCGCAACATCTGTGAAGTTGGCTCCCCGTGTTGTGCAAAACAGATCGCTAAGCCATACCGCGTCTCCAGTTACGACCTTCAAGACTGTGTTCATCGTTCGCCGCTTGCTATAAGCCGAAGATGCTCTGACCAAATCTCCTCCTCCCCTATACGTCATGACGGCCCTCTGTGTCGATCATATTCTTCGGACGAGGAACAGTGCTCTCGGCGTGGTTATCACAACAGCGTTGATAGATGTTGTACTTCAAATACCCGATGTAGTCCTTCACACGAGAAATGCAGTTCTTCAAATGCCCGTTGCAGCCCTTCGAATCGCCATTGTAATCCTCCAAATGCACGTTGCAATTCAAATGTGGAACGCAGTTCTCCCAGTACCCGTTGCAATCCTTCGGACGATCAACTTGATGTAACTTTTGATGATGAGGTTGATCACTGGAAGAATTCCTTCAAGAGATACGAACATGAAGACGAATCGTCTTCCTCGGACATATCTGATTCTTCCGTGCGTGATGACCAAGGTAATATAAGGATTGCGATGCTAGGTAGACAGTATTACTCGTAAAATAAATAGAATCTGTTTAGCATAAATTCGCTGAGAAGTTTTTTTGTAGTTTTTTAATCATGTTCTTCATCTATTATGCGTGGTGTACCCCTATGTGCAAGAAAGTATAACCAGAGAAAGCAATTTCATGAAAGCATTTGGGCTTTGCTATTGTATTAAAAATCTCCTAATTACAGCTCAACAAATGAGGAAATGTTTTCACTGATCAGGAAAAGTATATAAAAGAATCTCACTGGTACTAAAGTAATAATGCATCGCTCATACGATTTATTACTCGTTAATTTGCCTTATTCATGTAAAACAACAAATCTACTTCACCTCGTTCATTTTATAACATTAATTAATACCTTCTCTTTGATAGGAGCATTCATTTGTAGTGAAGATGCAATAGGACTCTTTGAATCAATGGGTTAGAATCGTGTAAACCATGACTGGCCACGAAAAAGAATGAAATGTAATAATTTTATTAATAATTTAAGTTAACCTACTTTCGTTAGAATACGGTATACTTGTCGCATTACTATTTAGTAGATTTCAGCTCCCCCCCCCCCCTCGCACACGTTTATATTCACGCAGACTTTCGTTGGCCTTAGTTTACTCGCTCGCTTGTTTCCGTAGGTGGTTGTTTTGTTACTTTAGGTCGCGGTGCCCAAGTTTATCTGCCGGTTTTGACGCGAAAAACCTTAGAGTAATCATCGCGAAGATTGATTGATGTTCGTTGTGTTATTTTACGTTTATTTTGGTTAGGTAAAATGGCACAACTTAGTGCGTCAGTTGGTGTAATTATTCAAATTAATCCTTACTGAGAACTCCAGTTCCATGAGCCTTTTGGACCCCTCTCATCCTATTTCATCCTATGATTGATTGTTTCTTTCCTTCAAAGTATATATCTTTACTTCCGCTTGACTTCCACACTCTTAATCAGCATGCAACGTTTTCATATTTTCACTGTCGCATCTTTTGCTAACCTTCCACTTTGAATTGATCACCTTGCTTCTAATTCCATAATTATGTTAGCAAGGCCTTTTATTTTGGCCGTGCAGGATCTCTTGTGCCACTGGAGGACGGTTCTCGTGCGATGCCCCCGCTTCCGTCACTATTTGATAAACACTTCACTCGACTCGGCACGCCGCCCGACACACCACGCTCAGTTTTAGCACTTGGGTCGCGAGTGCCCACTTCTGCACACAAAGCGTCACCGTCGTCTGCATGTTGTCTAAAGGAACGATGTTCCGATGCTGATGAGTCCCGAAGACGAGCGTCGCTTGTTCACCGAAGATGTCTCTCCGATCACCCCAGACGAAATTCTCAGCATAGTCGCGAGTCTTCCGTTGAGAGAACATCATGTGCCCAAAGTTCCAGCGACGCATGGGGTTCCCGAAGGAGATACGACGATATTTCCGACGATATTTTAGTCGCCGGAGACTCGTGCTGCCGTCACTTTGCCACGAAAAGTTCGTCGCACGACCGACCTCAAGTTGGAGCGCTGAGGCACAGTTATCACGAAGACCTTTCGACTCGATCGCTTGATCGCCGTCGGAGTGGCTTCAGGGAGAGCCTGTCGTGGGGTTGGACCAGAGACGTGCCATGTTGTGGCTATCATCACGGACTCCTTCCTACTGATATAAAAGACAGCAACTATCATCTCCCAGTTATTGGGGGTGACCAAGGGCGTTGCTCTGCATCGCAGCAAGATGATTTGGATGCAAGCGGGTGTTGTTATGGGGACTCGAGGTTGCAGGTGGGTCATAAACAAGATCTAGACCCCCACCACCATCATGATGGTCTGCCTGATTACATCCCCCTCTGGAGCTGTCATTCTAGTATGGTTAGTGCGATCACTGGCGCTGTCACATCGTAACATTCGGTGGGCGTTTTAGTTATTTATTACCTTTAGCAAACGAGACGTCACGATATCAATCCTGTCGTGTCCTCTGTTCAATGTCTAAACTTTTGGCTTCGATGTAAAATTTCAACGTCAGTTATTTCTTAGAAATCACCTACAACGTGTCAAGTTCTAGCATAGAATTTACTCGTTGTTCGTTTTAAACTTGCTAAGTTCCCGTTTTAACAAGACGGCTTTAATGTAGTGAATATTCTCCTTTTTTTGCTGTCTTCATTCCAATTTTGAAACGTTTTATGTGGAATTAACATTATTTTCTGTATAATTTATGTTTGATTTCTTTAAACTTGTTTCTAGCGTTCGTATGTATATCGTGTACTACTTTGTGTTTAACGTTTATAGGCGTCGCTCAAATCATTTTGGGTTACCCAACTTCGCAGGCGAGTGAGTTACTCTGTCACATTCTTTGTTGTCGCGTGACAACCATCAACGCCACATTACCATATTGAAAGTATTAACTCTAATTTTTATAATACATATCCATAAACATAATTGAGTTCACCGGTAGTTATGAAATATATAAGAGCGGAACTGATATACTGTAGGATTGATCTGTCACGCGCCTGGTTTAGACTTACTGCCATGACTATAATATGAAACCAGCCCTCAATCTAATTTCCTTGCAGTTTCCGTTAAATTTTGAAACTCCTGTAAATTATATGGGCTTGCTCATGAATCCAATTTGGAAGAGACGAATAAGAAATTTTCTTTTGATTCTGAGCATCTGAATACTTATGGCCAATGATGGGAGTGCATTTTTTCTGATATATCATCGAAGTAGTGAATTGAACGCTACTTCTATTGTTTATGCTTCATTAACAATACTTCTCGGAGTTCAAGTGTTTAACCATGTTCGTATAACTTTTTCTGAACGCACTTACCGGCTTTTTTCTGTTATAGTCATTAATAGCACGTTTTGAATTAAAACCAGACTGTGTTGATCGAAATTCATTCATCGAAATTGTTCATATCGTCAACCATGCATATCCTTTATTTTAATTTATGGTTATATATTTTTCTGCCGTGACTGCCTATCAGCAGCGCTGCTCTGCGGAGAAGATCTGGGAATTTTTTTGATGCTCGTTGCTTTATAATTTTTTTATACTCATTCGACTCATTTAATCCTTGTCGAGCTTGCAGCCTAACGAGGGTAAAAAAATATTTTTCGATTTTTACTCTTCCCTGCATTATGATGATTGATGAAGATCTTGGAGATCTCGTCTTGTATCAGACGCTTGTTCGCCCAAAAAAGATTGAATGTCCATTTTCTCACACGTGTGTTTATGTTCCTAATTGTCACGACTCCTCCTGTTTGTGAGTGCTTCGAGTGTTCGATTAATCCGATATCCAGCTGCGGGTGTTATTGTCATTAGTGTTTATTGTGTCACTAGAGTGTGACGGTATATGTGTCACTAGAGTGTGACGGTATAGCCGCTAGAGTGTGTTGGTTTACTAGACGTGGTTTTGCACTACAGTGTTTGTGTGTGGTTGACGGGAGAAATGATGTGTTTCTGGTGCTCGTTTACGTCATCGAAATAATAATAAATATTCAACACGTGTAATAATAATGAAATATTAATATTTCTTACATCATGTGTCCATTGATGGAAGAAATAATCATGAGTAATCTGGATTTTTTATTCGTATTTCCCTACTGAAAAATACATATTTTTTCTCGTTTCTATTTAGATTTGTGAAGGATAAAATTTTATAGGAAAGGATTATCGCGGTTTTCATTGATTTGTTACTCTTTGATGAACTCGCAAGTGTTCGGTATTGTGACACCTATAAATAATTTGTTCGAAATTAACAAAAAAGCTGTTCATGATGCCCATATTGTGGCTTCCTGATTTAAACGTTTGCTAATTCACGTCATTGCATGCAAATTGTGTATTGACGACCGAATTATTTGCTCAGAAGTGAAAAAAGCTATTGAATGCTTAATGCCTTTTGCTGAATACGAGACTGTATGCACGGAACACTATAAATGTCCATAACTTGAGCATCAGTGACAATAGTAATTGATATGGATGGATGAATGCATCAATAAATATTAATATGGATGAGTACGTTGCAGGTGGAGCGACTGTACGACCTGGAGGCGAACAAGAGCAGCCTGGAGCTGCAGGTGTCGGTGCTACAGGAGCAGGTGGAGGCGCAGGCTGAGAAGATCTCTGAGCTCGAGGCGCTGCTACGAGACAAGAACAGACAGCTCCTGCTCACTGAGGAAAGGCTCCAGAAGGTGGAAAATTAATACATTATTATGTTGGAATAAAATTTTCTTGAAAAAGGCTCCAGAAGGTGAACCTTAATGCATTATTATGTTGGAATAAAATTTTCTTGAAAAAAGGCTCCAGAAGGTGAAGCTTAATACATTATTATCTTGCAATACAATTTTCTTGAAAAAGGCTCCAGAAGGAGAACCTTAATACATTATTATCTTGCAATACAATTTTCTTGAAAAAAGGCTCCAGAAGGTGAAGCTTAATACATTATTATCTTGCAATACAATTTTCTTGAAAAAGGCTCCAGAAGGAGAACCTTAATACATTATTATGTTGAAATACAATTTTCTTGAAAAAGGCTCCAGAAGGAGAACCTTAATGCATTATTATGTTGAAATACAATTTTCTTGAAATACAGTTTTCAATTTGAAATACAGCAATTCTAATGCAAACATAATTAAGTTGGAATGAATTTTTAACTTCTTGAAATTCTGGAAGAATTTGCAATTGGAATTCAAGAATAATTAAATTGAAATATAGTTTTAAGTTTCTGAAATTCTCGATGATTTGCAATTCTAATGCAAGCATAATTAAGTTGAAATGAATTTTTAACTTCTTGAAATTCTTTATTAATTTGAAATTCCAATACAAGCAGCTGTAGTTTAATAATTAAATTTTAGCATTGAAAATTTCATGATGAATGTTGATGTACAAAAGAATGCTGCATAGTTATTGGTGCTGATCACACAAGAATTTTTTTGTAAAAAATGCGAGAAATCTCCTGCTTGTTTTCATTTATATCCACAATCGGGATTTTAATGATTGCCCATTGTAATAACTTAATTTTTTCTACGGTATGCATAATATATTCTTAAAAGAAATTAAATCATTTAAAGAAAATTACCTATATAAACTTAGATCAGTCCTATTGCATATTCTGACCAGCACATTTGTTATTAATTAGAAGTACGCAATTTTCGTCTGAAGCGCTTAAGCTGAATATTATTGTGATGTAGGAAGTGATGGCGGTGAGCGGGCTGGAGACTCAGCGTCTGCAGCTGTTGAGTGAGCTGAGCTGCCTGCAGCTCGAGCAAGCAGCGGCCGCTCAGGGGTCATCTGCTCGGTCCCCTCTCATACAGGTGCTCTTATTAACCATTATATTCTATAATTTAAAACAACAACATTGAGTGTGGAAATTAATATTCAATATTTAATATTTATCTCTTCAACCTAGTTATTCCATTTCGTAATTAACCACTTCCTACTAAAACTATCTAAACTCTGTGTTTAGTTTGAAGTTACTGATACGGTCTCATGGAAACAAACGGATTACCACTTCTAACCATTGTAATTTGCTGTGTTGTGGAGAAGAGAAGATAGCAACAATTGATACCGTGTGTACACGAACATCTCGGTAGGATAATTTTTGCTTCTTATGCTAGTTTGTGCTTCTTATGCCAGTAATGGTAGTCTCGATAAAGCTATCTCTGCTCTCTGGGTTCTATTCCTGAAAATGAAACTATTTCTGATGAAACTATTCCTGCTTCGTCTGCAGGGTTCATATCGAGAATGCATTATAGCAGGATGTGCTGAAAATATCGCATCCAAGTTTAATAACTATTGCAATGTTCTTCAATATCTCGATCAACATGACAGTTGTCCGTATGCATTTGCTCTGATTAATTCTCTTATCTATTTTTTTCTTTGATCTCTTGTACTGTGGTGATCTGATAAGTGAAGGCTAGTTGCCTCAAATCTGTTCCTTTTGTGGTACTTTACTCTGTATTGTTTGTTGTTTTCTCAGTGTGTTTGTGTTTCTTGGAAGCGACTTTTTTCAAGTTTCCGTATTTGGATCCTTTTGATCTTATTTTTCAGATTATTTCATATGTTCTGTAATCTATTCTTTTTAATAGTTCAGCATTTGGTCCTACTTTTATTTGAGTGGGTTAGAGTGTTGAACGTAAACACAACGTGTTTTAAGATATAATGCTTGGTGCAACCTCTATTTGCTTGCACAGTGTCAGTCCCTTGAATATAAATGTGGGCATTAGTGCTCGTGATGACTTGTGGCTGTGATTAACAGAATGATGCTTTAATTTTGTTGAGTTATCCCCTGGAATTTGTGTGCTTGTTTGCTTGTGTTCTGTAGCTTGCCTGGTAACCCGCAGGATAATTTCGGTGTTGGCTTGGCCACGTCTACGCCTGTGCGCTCCTACACCGCCTCGCCCTCATGCTCCGTGAGTAATCATTTCGATATCGTTCATCATTCGCCTACCCATTACTCATCTTTATTCATCAATACTCATCATTATTCATCATAACATATCACCATTCTAACCCACCACTCCGTTATGCCGTCTCTAAATGCGTTGCAATTCTCTAATTGAGTTATCATTTGGATCGGTATTTGTAAACATCATTTTGCGACTTCATTGATTGCGACTCCATTGATTGTGACTTATTGCTTACGACTTCATTGCTTACGACTTCATTGCTTGCGACTTCATTGATTGCGACTTCATTGATTGTGACTTCATTGATTGTGACTTCATTGATTGTGACTTCATTGATTGCGACTTCATTGCTTGCAACTTCATTGATTGCGACTTCAATGGAGCGACAATAAAGTCGCCTCAATGATCGTTTATCCCACATAATCAACATGCCACATGACATTTCTCGCGTTGCAGTTGTCGCCCAGCCTGGCAGGCTTCGTCACGCCCTCGGCACTGAACGGACCGTCGTCCTCGCCAGCGCCCGGCAGACTCCAGGACTCGGTCCGCTCCTTCGGTCCTCCCAGGGTCTGTGTTGCTGCCACTCCGCCGAAATGAACTTCATTTTTACTTAGAATGATTCACTGATGATATTAGAGTGTGTTATATTTAAGACATTTACATTTCAATGATTTCATAAGTGTACATGTATAATGTTCTGGCACAAATTTTTTGAGTCAGTTTTAATGACATGTTGGGGATCGGCACGGCCATGTTGAAGAAGTTGACAACAATTTTGTAAACAATTTGTATTCTGGCCACATCGAACCATATCATTCTTATTCTTACGGCTGCTATCTTGGATCTGTTGCATCTATAGTGACCTAACGTTTAACAACAGATTCTCTATTTTCTTTAGTAATTTCGTTGTTATAACTCCCGATACTTGTAGTGGCAACAATCACTAAAGAAATGGGGTGATAGGTTACTTTTTCGAGGCACTTACGCCACTTAAGGAAGTTGTACGATAATCACTGACGTGCTGAAACGCCAGAACCATTTTCTTGTATCTCACAACACAGTGGATATGCCGGGTGTGCCGAGAGCTGAGTTAGATACGAGTTGAGCTTACCGAAAGAACTTGTTTTGCGTGATAATTGAACCCATGGTCGCTGAGTGTGAGAGTCTGATTACTGATTTAATTGTATTTGAGTAATTAATACTTAATTATTTAATAATTTAAGTTTTAAGCTGATTCTAGTACTGCAGCTCTATGATATAATTCTCAGCTTTAGCGCCTCACCAATCACAGCACCACATAAGGCTTAGGTGCCCATGTATCTTATACGGTATTATCGTATTTTAAAAGGCCACCTCAAACCACCTCAGTTGAAAGGCCACTCGCTACAGTTTCTGTACTGACGAGGTCGTCTGTACTGACGAGGTCGTCTGTACTGACGAGGTCGTCTGTACTGACGAGGTTGTCTGTACTGACGAGGTCGTCTGTACTGACGAGGTCGTCTGTCGTGCAGACGCCGCCACCTAACTTCGGTCGGGAGGCAGACGCGGGGGCGGCGGTGCTGCGTGTGGCGCGCTGTGGCAGCGCCTCTACTGCCTCCAAGCCCACCACCCTGCCTCACCTGCACGCCTCAGGTGGGTTGTAGCCTCATGTGGCGAGGCTGTAGGCATGTGATGAGGCGAAGAAAATTGAAAAGTAGTTGACATTATTTTTTCTATTGTGACTGTGGCAGATATGTTTGAAAGACACCCTTACTTTCTTTAGGTGAGATGCCACTTAAAAAATTTTAGCAGCACAAACAGTCGTGCGATTGATGATGGTATCATCATGGTATTGGTCTCCACAATCATGGTATCATCACGATTTTTGGTAACATTAGACAAAACCATCATGCTAGTGTCTTGTCTTGCATGATGCCATTTGCATGATGTGAATCCCCGTACTAATGGTAGAGCTACTAGGAGCTGGTACCGGCCCTAATATTACACTTGAATTCAGCAGCTTCTGAACTACTTTCTCATTTTTCAGCTGGACTATTCTCGCGGTACTCTTTATATTTTTATAGAAAGTATTTCCTGGGTTTAATGGTATTTGGTATTCCAGCTTTCCAATTAATTTTCTTTCTTCCGTTCGCGACGCATGATCATTTGGTTATTAGACGTCAAATTTGGGATTGGGACGAACAATAAAATTCACGGTTGCTAATGGTTCTTACTTACAGCTAAATTCACTGGGTAACTGTCGGTGCATTCTAGAACTTTGGAAGTATGTAGCAATATGAAAGTTGCTGTTGATGCTTAGGAAGTGCGTGCTGCTGCAAGGGGACATAATAATGCTGTAGTTTGCATTGAAATTTATTGTTAATTGCTTGCTCTGGATTATTCGCAACTACCGCAGAGCAAATGTGAACGATGCGCTGCATTAATTAAATTATTAATAGATAATAATGTCGGCTCTACCACTCGGGTGCTGGTGGTAATAATGGGTAATAATGTCCACCCTACCACTCAGGTGCTGGTGGCAAGTACTCTGCCATGACCGCTGGTGTGGCTGAAGCTACCACCCGCACCAGTAGGTTTGCATCAGAGCGCACTAGTAGCGTGGACGGAGCAGGAGATGACACTAGTGGCACTAGTCCTGGTACTTGCGACGCTAGTAAGCCTGGTGGTGTTGGTCTGGCCCCTTTTGGTGCCCCTGGCAAGCGCTGCGCGTCGGCGCCTAATTTAGGTGACTTTGCTGCTTCAGTTGCCGTGTCTGCTGCCTTATTAATGTAGTCATTGCATATAACACTTAATTACATGATAATAATTCTGTTGTCATTATGCTTATTTTGGTTCCGCTTCATGAGCTTGCGTTGAGTTGCGTATATCAGTTACCGTGTCTGCTGTCATATCAATGTAGTCTTTGCATATAACACTTAATTAATGGATAATAATTTTATTGTTGGCATTATGCTTATTTAGGTTCCGCTTCATGAGCTTGCATATATCAGTTGCCGTGTCTGCCGCCCTGTTAATGTAGTAATCATTGCATATAACACTTAATCACATGATAGATAATTTTATTGTTGGCATTATGCTTATTTAGGTTCCGCTTCATGAGCTTGCAAATATCAGCGTCCCTGATCTGCCATCCCTGCTTGAACTAATTATTTTGTTATACTTTTAGTGCATTGATTGTAATTTCGTTAACGTTTGTAAATGTGCGAATATACACGTGAATACGGTATACATTTATTAACAACACTAATTGTTCCTATAATTTAAAAGACAATACGTGTCGCTGGGAATCGTTTCTTGCAGCTGGTAAAAAAATGATTTATATTAAATCACCATGAAACGATTTATGATTTTCACGTCTCGTTGGGGGGATTTATGATATTTGCACTCATATTCCACGGATTATATTGTTCGCTTCAAATGTCTTCGCAGAGTTACAAGCCACAGGACGCTTCTCGCTCTATTCATAAATAATAAGTAAATAAATAATAAATAATAATCCTATGTACACGGACTAGCTTCGAATATTTTATTCTAGCGGCTGTATTGCGTGTACATTGCTGTTTTAACATAAGTTTAATTAAAAACATGGTTCGTAATTTCAAAGTGATCTTGCATAATTTTCTTTGTTCATATTTTTCAATATGATCCTGGGCACGGCAGATTCCTTTATGGACTTCATTCCTGTATAAATTGTTCCACGTAGTTTGATCAATTCCAGCGCACTAACTGTGTGTGTACGGGTGATAACTGCACTATTTTGTACCTGCTTGTATTATATTTAGCGGGATGCCTGGTTCTTGAATTGATATTTTTCAAAAACTGTCTTGTTTTGCTTGTAAATTTGGCCTAATTTGCACCTTGACACGATTTAAAAATTTGTAAATATGATTTAAATTAAGTATTCTGCAACCGGATTCATGTGACGCTCTAATGTGTTGAAGCTTCGTCCTATTATTAGAATTTAAGACTTAAAATTCTTTTGTACAGTTAAAAATTAACCGTATCAGTTGACTTATTTTTTTAAGTATTGCAACGCTTCTTATTTAACGCACCACCAATAAAATTTTGTGTTAGCGTTTAGACGCTCCTTAGCTCAGTCTCTGTGGACATTGTTGAATAGCGTCGCGTCTACTTTTCTTTTGCTGCGTCATGAATGTCCGGAAGCCACGTTTATAAACTAATTATTGGCCTCAGCAGTTAATGTGATCATATTTAGAAAATATAAGCTCAAATTTGTAATTCTCATTGAACTGATAAACATCAACCCAACCATCCATCCATCCACACGTTTTATTGGGATGTCAGCAATGACGTCACCGATAATGATGTTTATTATATCAAAAAATTTCGTTTTATGTATGAACCTAAAGAAAAAAAAAAGCTTTCATTGATACCACAGTTTCTTAGAAATTTATGAGGATCCTGGGTCGTTTGCACAAACCGAGATCACTTTGGACATACTATTGACACTTTCTTTAAGACACATTAATGTTTCAACTTAGTGGACGATTTAGTCCACTACATAAATATGCTAATTATTAAATGCTAAATATATAGCATTAAACTTGAGAAGTAGGTGTCGTGGACATAAAGCCTCATGTATTTATAAGCAAATAGTAGATCTTGCACGGTTTCCGTGTTAAAGATCTATTTCAAGAGATATTAATGACTTTGCATTCTATGGCAGCCGAGACAGAAAAGCAGTCGCAGTCTTGCCATCAGTCGCCCAACATCGCTCAAAGGTAAAGCTCAACTTATTCATTTAAACTAACTCATTCAGCATGACGAATAAAAATAACCCTCTAGTATGAATGCCATTTGCTATAATGAATAAATCTTTTAATATAATGGCTACTCTAATGAATGTATTGGTAAAAAAACTTGCGTTTTATTCTTCGTGTGAAATATTTCTGGATTGTTTATACATCATTTAAGGTTCTTCGATGAAACTATACACAAACTATAATCTCAAAAATTGTAATGCATTCTCTGGTCATCAATTGCTCGCATAACTATAATCTAGTGCACAATTAGAAGTCAGGAATTTTCTGAAGAAACTCGTTTGAAGGCAGTGCACATCAAACGTATGGACTAGATTGAACGTGTATCCTTGTCGTGTTTAGTGCAAAGAGTGCAGAAAAGTTTCCGTGTATTATTGTCCTATAAAATCCAACACGTTGACATGAGTTTCCGTGTATCTTTTCTATGTGAACTGCTTCGAAGAGTGTAGAGTGTATTATTGACCTACAAAATCCAACACGGTGACATGAATTTCCGCGTATATTTTCTATGCAAATTGCATATTTGCCTGCAGATTAGTGAACGGACAGCACACGGCAGAGGAGCGGCAGACCTACGGCCCTGCGGACGGGTGCCTGGCCAGCCCTGGGTCTCCTGCAGACGGGGGCGGCATGCGCAAGAGTCCGCCGTCCATCAAGACTTTGTCCTCCGGTAACCTGCACAACATCCAGAGCCTCGAGCAGTACTGTGACAACCAACAGCAGTCCTCGCCCATCACGTCGCATAAGCCTAACACCATCAAGAAAATATTCACAAGGTTGGGAATCTCAGTCTGGGATTGTTTGCTCTCGTCGTTAAGGATGAAAATAATTAAAGTTTATCATTAACCAGAAGAAAAATTTGTTTTTGGTCATATTGTCGTGGTTTGAAATAATTAATTTTCATTATTATTCAACTTTCAAATCGGCGCTTGTCTCATCCATCATTAACGTTATGAATAATTAACGTTCCTCATTAATCTGGACTACAAATCGGCCTTAGTTCCTTCATTATCGAGGCTTAATCTTACATAATTTCTCGTAAGAATGAGAAAGCAACAAAAACGCCAAGTTAATTCACGATTTCTTCACCGATAACGACAGGCTGAATTACTATGGCGTTTTCTTTGCTTTAAAATACTTATTGAAAATTGCGACTTGAGCAAATTAACGCTGGGAAGTATGTAGTTGGTTATAATGATTTAGGCAGACAAAATGAAATTACTTGATTAAGCAGAATGATAAGTACTCGTATATTTTTTGCTGTGCAGACTACGGCGCAGCAGCTCTGGCAGACAGTCTCCCCCTGGGACTCGGACGCAGGACCTGCGCCGGGGCGGCGTCCGCGCCACCGCCACCGCGCGTCTCGGCGGCACCGCCCCGCGCCCCGTCGCTGGCGCCTGGCAGGAGTAAGTCTTATATAGCGGTTTCAGCGTTTAGTAGGCCTGTCGCCGATTCTTAATATTGCAGAACATTCACAGCTTGTTGCGGTCTCGAACTTACGATTCACTGCTAACAAATTCTGCTTTGCTTAACCGCCCGGCCTCCTCGCCCATTCTGACCAGAAACTGGCGCACAGAGCTGGGATCGAACCCGCGCCTCTCTGCGCCAATCTTGGTACTCTGAACTGTAAACACTGGGCCACCTTGGTACCAGTGGTGAGTCTTGGTACCTGAAGGCGGCGCCTGATCTTTGTTGATTTTAGAACTTGTCTGTTCTGACTGAAGATTCATTTAGTCTACGCCATTAATGATCATATTTTGTCTGAATCTCCTAATGTTATGCAATACATTTTATTTAATTTATTCAGTGGGATAATTATAGGATGGCTCGCATTTGTCCTATAATTATAGGATGGCTCGCATTTTGTGGCCTGGAACTGCTACGTCTGAAACATATACTAAGGATACTAAAATATTCATTCAAGTCTCCCTTACAGACCATCAGGCTCCCTGGAGACCTGGTCAAGCGCAGACTGCGTCGAGTGGATGACGGCACTGGGGCTGTCCCAGTACACCACGGCTCTCCGCTGTTGGTTAGGTGACCCCAGCAACCACCTGAGCAGAGCCACGTCTTCCCAGCTGGACAAGCAGCTGGGAGTGCGTCATCCCCTGCACAGGAAGAAGCTGCAGCTCGCCATCGCGTCCAGGATGGGCTCCTACCCCAGCCTCGCCGCCACCTCTCCCAGTGCGCTATTTTACTTCATTAGCATTAATACGCAATTCAATACATCCTGAATATGTTACTCTTAGTGTGCTCTTTCGAAATTATTTATTAATTGTAAAAATGTCTGCTAAGTTTGTATACTATCAGAACTTGGCTTCATGCCTTATAAATCATCGATATAACTCATCGCTTGCAAGCTAACTACTGAACGTAAAATATGATTAACTGATGCACACCCAAATGCCTGAACTTTATTGTGCTTTTCAGCCTCAAATTTATTAGAATTCGCCCTTATCAAAAAAATTCTCCCTTGTAAAAGAATTTCACTCAAATTTTAAAAATCTGACGTTAATGAATGAGAATTATGTTGACCAGGCGAGCGTATCGAGGGCAGCACTGCGAGTGCGTCGTGGATATCGCAGTGGCTGGACGACGTAGGCTTGCCGCAGTACAAAGACGCCTTCCACGAGGCTTGTGTCGACCCTCGCGTCCTGAACGTCCTCACATGGGAGGACCTCGCCTTCCTTAAAGTCACCAGCCTCCTGCATGCGGTCTCCATCAAACGCGGCATCCAGGTACTGACACTGGAACCTCTCATAAATATAGCAGAGTTAAAGGGGAAGGTAACAGGCAACATTTACTTAATGAGGATTAAGGAATAACAGAAATGCGTCAAGTGTTTTATGCTGTCTGGTGATGTTTTTGCACCTGAATTCATTATACACCCATTTGGCCTTACAACAAAGAGCATGATATCGGCTTATTAACTAGGTCATGCAAATAATTACCACTGTTTCGTCCTCAATTTGATATCTACTGTCTTTCTATGGAGGTATCGCGGTAGCCTCACTTATTGATGATAGGTTGTTCGAGTGCGCACTGCAGAGTGAAGCTCCACGCGACTTAGTTCTTCGCCTCGAAGGCTTCAGACTCCAGGATACTTCTGTAGATTTCTTGAAATGTTGTTGCTGTTTGTTCAACTCTTTGTTGGTGAACTGAAAAACCTTACAGGTGCACACTAATATCATCAACATTATAACTTTCTTTTGCTGTGCTTAATACTGCAGCAAAATATTTATGTACAAATTTATTCCAACAGACCATTATTTATTCCTGAATACGATTATTTAATAATAAAACTACAAGGACTTCTAACTGATATTTATATGTTTTCGGCAGGTGTTGCGGGAGCACAACTTTGACTCCTCTGTCTTGTTGCGGCGCTCCAATTCCTCCCCAACCTTCAACGACAGCGCCAATAACAACATCAATAATAACAGCGTAAGCTTGATATTCACACGGTGCCTTTCCAAGTTAATATACAGGCGCACATCGCTGCTTTTATGTACTAAAGCAATTATTCATGAATTTGAATCTGCTTTTTAGTTTTATCTATAATAATTTATTAAACGTGTATCTTGTTTCATTTGAGCCGCGATCTCGTGGCAGAAATGTCGTCGAGTTGTGCCGTGTTCACACCTGCCAGGGTGAATTGTATTATGACTCACATTAAAATACGCTCAAATACGGGCTCCAGGTGTTGACGGTATCATGTCCCACGTTAATATAGGCAGCAGTAGTTATTATGGCTGTTATATACGCAGAAATACGTAGTCCAGGTGTTGATGTGTTGTGCACCTCGTAGGGGAGTAATGGCGTGGCGCAGGAGGTGGAGCGCTGGACTAACCACCGCGTCATGGAGTGGCTCAAGACCGTCGACCTCTCCGAGTACGCGCCCAACCTGCGCGGCTCTGGTGCGTGAAAAATTCTCTGAGCATCCAATTCATAATGGTTACTGAATTACTGGAAGATTTGTGCGTGTACCAGCTTGTTGTTTAATGTAACAAATTCTATGGGCATCCACTGCACTTGGGTTATTGAATAATTGAAAGAATTTAAGGTTTTATTTGAATACACTTACATAATAACTATAAACGCGTTAAATTATTGAAAGCTTTTATAGTTTTATTTGCGCACGTTGGTTTATATATAAAATATTTGAGTAACTTGAGGTAAACTGAGTGCGTGGCAATAGTTTCATTTAAATGATAAAAAAATTTTGCTTCTAGGAGTGGGTCTAAATCTGTGGTACTCGAACTTTTTTGGGGGTCGTGAACAATTTCGAGCTTTTGGTTGATCTGCAAAAATTAGGAAAGAACAGCATAGACGACGGCCCATGTAGTATGCTCTATTTGCCCATGTAGTATGCTATATTTGCCCATGTAGTATGCTATATTTGCCCATTTAGTATGCTATATTTGCCCATGTAGTATGTAATGGTTGTATAAGAATTATACTATGCGTGCAGGCGTTCACGGGGCGTTGTTGGTGTACGAGGTTCGTTTCAACGCAGAGGTGCTGGCAGCGCTGCTGTCCATCCCTGCCAGCAAGACGCTCCTACGACGACACCTCAACACACACTTCAAGGTGAACACTTCTCTTTACAGGGATAATTACGTCAACTTAAAAGTGTTACATTGTTATATTGTGTTTGTTTATAGAGGAAATATTGTAGATATTCTCTATTTGCTCTATGAATTTTTGATTACTTATTTTTTTTCTTGTGTTTTAAGGCCTCTTTTTAAAGCAAAATAAGGTAGGAGGAAGCTAATTCATAATCAAGCCATCCTCACAATAATGGTAATGATGTTGGTTGTTTACAAGCGATTGAACGCGATTGCGTTCAATCGATACACAAGCGATTGAACTGCATCGATAAATTTTAGCGGGAGCAAATGTAATGACGGGAGCAATCTCAGCGTGTTCCAAAAACGTAGTTTTCCTAAAAAAAACGTAATTATGTTGTAAGTATTATGTAATTAATTATGTTTCCTAATGTAATTAATTTTCCTAAAAAACGTAATTATGTTGACAGGAGCTTGTGGGGCGCGACGTGGTGCACGAGAAGCGCGAGGTTGAGAACGCGCCAGGCTTCTCGCCCCTCACCACCGCCACTAAAGTCAAGGTGAGGCGGCGATGATTTCAGATTAAAACACATCCTCTGTGTCAATATCTCAATTTTGATCATGAATTTAGATTAAACTCGCATATCACCTCCTAATTCAGGTTGTCAATGCAATGAATTTGTCCACGCATGTCTTGAGTTTTCTAAATACGGAACGTCTTTAATGCTTGAGTGCGCTGTCCCTCTAGTGGCAAGAAACTGGCACTCAGGGAGAGTAGATCCACGTACAAAGAGAGTAGATCCACGTACAAAGAGAGTAGATCCACGCACAAAGAGAGTAGATCCACGCACAAAGAGAGTAGATCCACGCACAAAGAGAGTAGATCCACGCTCAAAGAGAGTAGATCCACGTACAAAGAGAGTAGATCCACGCACAAAGAGAGTAGATCCACGCACAAAGAGAGAAGATCCACGCACAAAGAGAGTAGATCCACGCACAAAGAGAGTAGATCCACGCACAAAGAGAGTAGATCCACGCACAAAGAGAGTAGATCCACGCACAAAGAGAGTAGATCCACGTACAAAGAGATTAGATCCTTTCTGGTCGACCATCATAGAAATATACAAATTTACATTATTTTTGTTGCAGCCGAGCAAGCGGTCTCAGTTCTCCCTGAAGCGGCGCAGCAGCAGCAGTAGCAGGAACGGCGGCAAAGGAAGACCTGCTCTCGAGTTCGATGACCTTCTCTGCCCCCTCGAGGAGCGCCGCCCTCGGGCTGCCCTCAGCGCCGCCTCACAACTTGCAGTACGCTGGCGTCTTGTGTTTCTTATTAATAATTCTTATATTTTGCCTGTGTTTTACTAATTTAAATTTAATTAGACATATATGTATTTTACATTGTTTAATTATAAATAATTTAATTATTTATTAATTCTCGTATCATTCACCCATGACGCTCAAACCATTTATTTGCTATTATTATATTTCTGATTGCTCTAGAAATTATATGTTAAGTCAATTTCGTATTGAAGCTTCCCTTTTTCCTACGTAAGACCTATTTTAATTATTCAGTTTAGTCAATGTTCTTGTTTGATTATTCATCATTTCAACTTGATTCATTTGTTGTTTTCACAGGAAATTCTAATCATGTATTTTTTCCAGAATTCTCCGGAAACTCGGTAATGCTAACCTCCCTGCCGTTCATTCCCGCCATCGCTCTCTCACGACACCGCGAGCTGCTGCTGCTGCTGGTGGCTGTCCTGACCAACGAACGCTGATGCCTTGTTCGTCGGCAGCAAACGTGTGTCCTGCTGTCTATCTCAACTGGATCCTCACGTATCTCTTTTGTATCTTCACGTAGCTTTTCTGTATCTACACATGAATCTATTGTACTTCCTTGTGAATCTATTGTATCTATGTACATGTAACCCACATAGCATAGGAAGAACCCGGCAGCAGAGACAAAATCTTGAGCTGACCGTCGCTATGTAAGTCTATGGTAGCGACAAGGACCGATGGTGCGGTCGTGGCTTGCCTGGCAGTTCCGTGTTGAAGTTTTTTAATAACTCGATCGTAATTTTTTATGAAGACAACGCTGGCTCGTCGTCGCCCCACAAAACTATTCTTTCAATGCATTGGCAGCTTTGAAACGAGTACATGTGAAGTATTAGTGAGAACTAAATGTTGCGAAGTGTATGACCTTCTTTTAATAGATTCCTCTAACTTACAAGAGACGGTGTTAAGCTTGTGCGAATTATTTTAAATCGACATGCAATGTTTTTGCCACAAGTTTCCATTGGCTTTGTTTCAGTGTTCAATTCGCCTAGTCTGTGCCAGAAAAATCTTTCTTCTCTTATGAATTATTGCGATGTTCTAATCTCTAAAAAATATTTTTAATCTATTTAAATTGTTGTTTTTTCTTCCACGTAACAGGCGATCATGTTGGAATGTTCCGTTTCTAGCTCGTCTAATCTTATACATTATGCTTGTAATTAAACTATTTCTGCATAAAACAATAAAAAACGGTGACTTTTTGGATAGAATTAACGGCTAACTTTTGCTTTGATTTAATTGTTGGCAACTAAGTTGGTTTAAAATCCTATGTGAAATAATGTAAGACAAAACTAACATGAAGGAAAGCCATTCTTGTCCGCTGCACACATAATGTTTTAGTCACATTTTTCCTTTTTTTGTGGTCTGCTTGTGCTGTCCATCGGCATTTAAATGGTAATGTTTATTTCCTGTTAAATTTATAGCGAAAAAGGTATAAATAATTATGGGATTTATAACATTTTTAATTTGGTTGTGTGACTTAGAGTGTTTTTAGTTTGGAGGATAGCTAGTCTTCCGATGATGGCGTCACGTGCAGCTTAACGGAGATTAATTTGTGCTAGAATAATTCTCGTCTGGGTTCGAATGTCGTTTGAAATTGGGGGAAAAATGCGGGAAAGAAACTCGGTATATTATTATGTATGTTATTTTAATAATTTGAAAGGCAGCTTTATATACGTTACTTTTAATTTGGTTGTAGGTGCGTATTTTTTTCTTGTAAAAGATCACTGTATGCTGAGGTGTATTAATGGATCTATTGCGCATTCTTGTTCCATGTTCGCAAGCTATGTGAACTGGAACAAGAAGTGACAACTCTCATAGTACGAAATCTCGATGTTTCCATTCACTTTGTTATTGGCTTCTGTAAGCACGCGACAATGTCTGCTCTCTGCTATTCCTTATAACGTTTGCCTTGCAAATTACGGGATAAAACTCAGTGAATTCTTCCGCAATGAAAGAAATTAAGCACGTTATCGGGGCCGCGTTCTGATTACTGTACAACAGCGCGGCTACAGTCAAGCTAAGAAACTTTCCACTTCGGGTATATTTTGTACGACCAGACGTGATCTTCACGGTTTTATCTATATCTGTTACGGTTTATTATTATAACTAATACCTAAGATTATTCATATTTAAAAATTTCAAGCGGACCCAAGCCAAAATAATTTATTTCTATTGTTACATGCGTTGGTAGATTATTTGACGCAACGAGGCTTTATATAATAGTGTAGACTAAACTATACGATGCTCGTAGCCTCTTGAAGTCTTATTGCGCCGCCATGAAGCGAAAAGCTTCAGAACTTTACGTGGTCAGCGCTTCAATATTTGAGACGTTAATTTACAAATAACCTTTTTTCTGAACATCCACTTGAGGATACGAGGAATAAATTAACACGGAATTGTTGAAGTTTTATCAAGAAAACACGAAATGCGAATTTTCGGTTTCCTTTGTCTGCTAATTTGATCGCTACCGAAATCTTTTTTAACTAATCATCTTCATGAGCATTTTTATTCTATTTCTACTTTATATTGTTTAGAAGTCGAGACATGAGTAACAATTGTCCTTAAATTTATAATTTAGGAAATCTTCTGAAATGAATGATAGTGACGAAACGCATTCGAGTCTGAATGATGAGGAAGCTTATCGTGATCTCTAGTGCACTAAATATAAATGGGCCTAAAAAAATATTTAAAAGTTCGTCTTGCTTTCAAAATTTGATGCGTTTGAGATGTTGAATATTGTATAATGTATACTGAATTCCTCGTTTTTATATGATGAATCATGTACCAATGCGCGCGTTTTTTTAGTTGAAGAAATCTGTACTTATTTGCTTGTATTTCTATTGAATGCGAGTTTTTTATTGAATTGAGGAATGTTTCGTATTTATTATTATTTTTTAAATTCTGGAACGTTGTCTGATATTCTTGTTGGACGGAACGCAACTTAAAGGAAGATCTCTCTTCAGAAAATTGCATAGAAGATTTTTCATCGCGAGAGAAAATGATCAACGGAGGTTGTTTCTGCAGGAATTATTTTCATGTCTGTTGCTGACCAAACTTCGTTCTTGTCTGCACGAAGTTTCTTGGGCCGTCTAGTTTAACTTGTATTCGCGCTATATATAGTTTCATCGCCTAAAACTGAGCTAACTTGTAATTTTATATTGTGTGACTAAAGTTGTTAATCTACGTTTCTTATTTGCTTTATTTTATCCATACTTAATTCAGAATTTTTAGCCATTGATTAAGTTGAGTACGTTTTTGAGCAATGATTCGCATTGAAATTCAGCATGAAATGAAATTTGCATTGAAATTCAGCCTCGTAAACTTCAGCCTCGTAACAATGATTTCAAATTCAGGTGCAAAATTAAGTATCCATGTTAGGTTCTTTACAAAAGACAATGCCAGAAATGCGCTATCGGAAGAGATGAAGTACAATGGCAGTGCGTTACTTGAGGTCAACACAAACAGTACAGTATAAATGAAATAATTATAATTCAAATATTAATTACAATAAATTAAAAAAGATGCTTGAGTCATAAGGACTGAAGCCTTAATGTATCCCCTTGGAGCAGTTTCAATACTCATAAACTTCGAAGGTTTTCTAGAAAAAAGTCAAATAAACATGTAATATATATTTCATGAACATGTGTATATCATAACATCCACTTACAGCTTTACTTAGCTGTCCTAATTTTTCACAGCAAAACAGATGACAGTGTTGGAAGAACTAATCACTTCACATTAAGTGAAATGTACAATTTTATTTACAATTTCTTATGTTAACACCATGCATACACAAATGTTTCGTTGGAAGTTTAGTGACGATTGAATTTATTCCATATGAATTATTGAACAATGCAAATATCTTGTAGGTTTTTAAATATAAAATTATGAGAGATTTTGAGGCTGACTCAATTAAAGAAGCTTTGATAATTCATTACAAAGTTCAGGTCAGTTTTTTATGAACAAAATAACAGTAAAGATAATTATTTCTGTTATATTCTTATAATGACCGTCAAAATTACTTGTATATCCAGTATACAAGAATTTGATTGGTCATCCGAGTCTCACGCTCGTCTCACAGTTGTTGGGAGACGAGCGAGTCTTACTATCATCTCTCAGTCCTCGCGAGACGAGCGAGTCTCACGCTCGTCTCTTTTCTACATGCGATGATAGTTTGACGTTTTCCAGTCTCGGCTTGCAGTTGTTAACCAAAAAAGACGGTGTAAGAACCACGCTCAGACCCGCCTATGCTTCCGCGAGATCAACTTAGCTCACTTCTTCATTGACATTTGTGACCCTAGGGAGTCTTTCAGACTTATTTCTGAAAATCCCGATACTTCAAAAATGCTGGGGTATGGAAATCCTGCAAAAAGATAAGATTTTGGCATGCAGCTTGGAAAATATATTAGTGATTAGATCCGTTTACGAATTTGTTTTAAAGTGAATCTAATACAATATTTATAGTGATGGCTGGAACGCTTGAGGAGCAATACTCTGCTTGCACATTTAATTCGGCTTATTGAAGAGAGGTACTCGTCTACATATATGAGAGGAGACCGTGTATGTCTACATAAACTGAGCTTATCTGCATGCGTACTCTGCATTATCTGCAAACACAGAACTCTGGAAAAATTAATTATAAATGCAGTCAGTAGTACGTACGTCCTCTAGTTCACTACGGGATGTGGGCGATTTCTTATACAGGCGATTTCTTATACATATTTTTAAATGATGTACATGTGTAAGAACTTTTGAGAAATTAAAAAATAAATACAGAAAATTGTCTAACACAGCAAAAACAAAGTAAATGCGGTGCAAAATGCGCGGGGAATGCGAGTTTCATTGTTATTCAGGTTATGAATTTATATGCTGTAGTTTAACCTATTGAATAGATGACGAAATATTTCCAAGTTTTTACATTGCTATACAAATTAAATAGATTCCCAAGATATGTTTTTCACAAATTTTTCTCATCTTCCGTCAAAGTTAGCAGCATCAATTCCATATCTTTCTCCAGAGCGTCAAGCAAATCCTGGCTCTCGGAGATGGCATCACGCGATGTATGCGCTATGGTCATTGGTACAGGATCTGATGTACTTGAAGGTCCTGAGATACCGGATAATTTTTCCATTGAATGTGAATTCGGCACAGTCTGTATTTGTGAACAAAGGTCGTTCTTTGCGGACATTATATTCCAGTTTACTTGTCCGATAGGGCTCAATATTGTTTCGAAGTTAGTCGGAATTTCTGATCCTTCCTCAAAATCTGAAGATAAACGTTCCTGCTTCTCCAAATGAGCTAAACTCTGCAAATTTTCTTGTTGCCCGTTAGTGCAGGAGCTAAAGCATGGACTGTTTTTATCGATTGAAATATGCGAGTTACCCTCACCCTGGAATGTGTTCTCAAAAGTTGATTGGACAGCTGCGGGTTCCCCTTTGGCTGGAAAAATGTCGACTGTATCTTTAAAGCGGATGCGCTTCTTTTTCTTCTCTTCGTTGAAATGGCAGACTGTCTGCTTAACAATGGATTTGGGAGCTTCATGAGTAAGTTCTTGGGTAACGTTTAAACCATCTTGAAGTTTCGACGGCCCTCTAGGCAGCGAAAAACTTGAACGTCCTCCGCCATTCCTCTTCAGCTGTGAAGCTGTGTGACTCAGAAAATTTTTGAAGGTGTTGAACGAACGACATCGTCGACCCAGGAACGATTTTTGCTTGCGCTCGCACGTGAGGTCACTGGATTTATGGTCAGTTTTTTGACCAATAAAATCTAAATTTGAGACATCATCATCGAGGTCAATTACCTGCAAATCAGTTTCGCTTGTTTCGAACAAACCATTTGATTTCAAGTTTGAATTCGAGCCATCATGCGCTCCAGTGTGCTCAAATTTCAAATCTTTTCCTGTTGACGTTGATGGTCGGTTCTTATTTGAAATATTGCAGCGATTTGAATTGTCTGCCATGCAAGATGCTACAGTCTGATAAATTACGGAATCGTCGGTAATATTTCTGTTGAGACCGTCTATTGTCGTGGGCATATAATTATGGACAGAATCAGTGTTATATTTACGATCCGAAATTTCTCTGTAATATTCTTGATTTTTGTGGGAGGTAAAACGAGCATATGTCTCCTGTGGGACCATGTAGTAATTTTTTGCTGGACTAATAGAACTGTACGGCTCATTCTTTCCGTGCTTCACTGCACAGTTCGCATCATTCACCGCAGGTGCAAAATTTTCCGACAAATTGACATGTTGACTCAGACTACACTGATTTTGGAAGCGCTTATCCCGAATGTGAAGCAGGTCTGAGTGGACTGCAAGGTCTTCTGAAGTCCAAAGACTGTCATCCGAGGTACCTGCATATGAATATAGAAAATCAATACCAATACAGCCGATGCAAGTAGCATTATTTTGATGCGTATGTTCTAATGTACCAGATAAAAAAGAAATGAGCTGCTTAGTACTTAACTGTTATTCATAAATCATATTGCTATGCAAGACAAATTTTTCATGAAATTCAATATTTGATGTGAAAATAATAAATCACATTTAAGAAAAAAAATTGTTTGCCTCAGGTTGTCCTCAGCCCACTAAGCTACTGGGAAAAGTGCCTAAATGTAACTATGGTTGCTACATTTTTTATGTGTTGTTCCGGAATAAAGATCATAGCTACAGAATATTTCCCCAGGATAACATTTGTGTGCACCCCTCACCTGACATGTCCTCGGGAGATGGGCTCGAACCCTCGCTGTCTCCTCTTCCACTGTCGTCGCTGCCGCAGCTGCTGATGTAGATTTCTTCCGATGGAACGTTGCTCCTGTTCAAATTGTCAACGGGAAGTCCGTGCTCTAATAAAGTAGATTTTTGAGCCAGCTGGTGAGCGTTACGAGAAACGTCGTTGCAATCCGTAGGGTGGAGATAAACATGTTTATGTTGTGGGTTGAGATCTCTGGTGGGGACAGAAGACAAATTCTTTTGACGTTGGTTTTCTTTTGTTTCGTGTTCGATGTCCACTCCATTTTCATTGCAGTATTCCATAAATTCGGCTAGCAATTCATCAACTGAACTGGTTTGGGCGTTATGCTTTACTATTCTCGCTTCATTTATTTCTGGTTCCTCTTCAACCTTGCGATGCAAGGCGAAAGCATCGAACACTTCTTTCCTTGACTCGGAAATCGAAGGCCAGGGAATATTTTCCTCTGTGTTTTCTTTATAACTCTTGACTCTTTCATCCTCATTGACCGTTGAAATTCGATTACCTCTCAAACTCATATCTCGCTTGTTAAGCTCGCTTCCTGAAGCCAGTGAATTATATTTATCTTCCCTATGCAAGTTTCCCGCAAATTCGTCAACCATGGCGTTGGAGTCGCAAGTCTTGGCACAACTTTGATCGAGATTCACCTCCTCCTCAGGGGATCCACGGTATACTGTATTTGAGATCTGCCCTGAGTGTTGCTTTGCATCCCTCTTGCTATCGGATGAACTTATCTTGGACAACAAGTAATCACTTCGACTCCCGTCAACTCCGGGACGCTGAATATTGGATGACTTCATCAATGACTTCATTCCGAGATTCGCGATGAGCCTGGAATAAAAGAAACTTATGTGACTGAAACGCGGTTCAAACTCGACTCCAGAGCACAATATCTTAATGAGAAACAAATAAAAATGATTATATAAGCAGGAAATATCTGTGAACGAATACGATTCTTATCATGGGCAAGCGGATCCGACCGCTTTTAAAGCATCACGAAGTGTGAGAAAAAGAACGCTTTTAGTAACTGACTGTTTAAGAATATCTATAACTGCATCCGGACTAGAAATGTTTTCACGAGAGAACGAATATGTAGTGCGCACAGGATGCACAATACGTCGAATTTACGTTAGCAAAGGTCATTTGGCTGCATGTTGTCACGTGAGGCAATTCTATATAAATATTACGGGGTAAGTTGCCATTTATGGTATAGGATAATAATACAAGCGATACTAACGTTTATAAACACTAACTTTTAAGTACTAATGGAATTATTCTTCTAACATTATTGTGCATTCATTTGCTCTATGTGGCAAAAGTTTGTACATCTAAAATAAATGTATTTAGAAGATCAATTAAAACTGACAAAATGATACAAATCATATAATTCAGTTCGCTTATGAAGCTGAAATTTTAAAAGTAAAAAATCTTTCTCTACTCCTTCCTTAATTATTATATGAATAGAAAACTTTAAATCTAATTCATGTGACATTTCTTCCGTCAGCTATTCCGAAATTATCGAAAACCCAGCAGGAGTCGGTGAAAATAAAATGAAAGCACTCTAAAAGAGTTGGAAATTTTAAGGTTCGTATTCGAATAACGTGGGACGTGAGAACACACGACGAGTTGAGGTCACTGCCACGTCACACGTCTGGCACACACGTCTCGAAACTTCTCACGGTCATGGGATATTGGCCTTCCCATTGTTTCCCTCACGAGGATATGTTATAAAGAGGATGATAAACTTCCATGTGTTCACTCGTTCAAAGGAATTGATCTTCATGCCATTTATTGTGTCATAAGCAAGGTTATTGTTCTGAATTACAATAGAAAGAGAATTTTGAGTTTCGTCAGTAACTTGCATGAATATTGATGTGAATATCGATAACGAACACTAAAATGATAAGAGTCCTAAGTTTTGTTATTTTTTAAATAAAATATGTTCCCTAATAACCTAAAGCAGTATAAGTCTTGTTTCGATCTATTGGTGCATACGACTTGGCCATCGAAAGCTCCCAAAATCTTCTGAAATCGAGTGCTCCCAAAATCTTCAGAAACAATTATTATTCATTTTCAAGCTTTTATAATGAGACAGACAATTACAACCGAAGTTTACAAAATTTAAGGTCAGCGTGGGCCCGTTGCACCACATAATAAGAATGAACGGTTTCCAAATTTCAATTTAACTTTCACCTTACGAAGCGCCTCCCTGATCCGCGACGCAACAGAGCTGCATGACGTAACGCAAGGCGCTGCGACCATGACTCAGCGTCAGCTTTTGACGTCTGACGTGGCAGCGACTAGACGCAGTAAAGGCTAGTCACGTGTTCATTATGACGCAATGCCATTTTTAAATGGAAAAATTAATGTAGTAACGCGCTGCACACGCAATCCAGTGCTGGTAGGATGGCAACATGAACTGAGTTTAATAAAGCCACCCAAAAGCCGCAACCAAATGCACGGTATTTCAGATGAACGGCCAATTTTCCGCTCGCTGTCTTTCATGATCGTGGTTTATCACATGATGCGATAACTCAAATCACTTAAAGAAGCAATTATATGAAATTTGTTACGGTATTTAGAATATTTTTAATTAAATATTAATATTCAAAACTATTTCGTGACGCTTTTTTCTAGGAGTAAAATATATTCCCAACTTTATTTATATATTATCCGCTATCTTCCGCTCATTAAAGCGATTCTATTTCCTCCATGAGCTCCTAAAATTTGTAGGAGCACAGCGGGTTGATTTTAAAATACGAGCAACTACGATCGAGCGACACAACAATATAGATAAAAAGCATCCAGCATTAAAGTACGTCGGTAAGATAGAACATTTTTTTAGCGAGAAAACTCATTCTGCCTTAAATTTCCGGAATGATGGTTGTTATAGTTTTGTTAGAGTTTGAGTTTATTTCCATGCACGTGGTAACTTACAAATTTCAACGGAGTCAGAATAAAGTTTAACCAGTGGTGAAAACAAATCTTGGGCGTTTATTAAGAGAAGGAATAAGGTTGTTTGCAAGATAATAGTATATTAGAAAATGAAATTCGCACTAAAAAGTATTTACATATCTTATTATGTGATTATATGATATTATGACATAATGTTATGAAATTTCTCATAGAATATTTTTGGTTTACTACAAAGTGTGTTTTATTCACCTGTTATTCAGAAGTACGGCGTTTAACGTCGCTTCAAGCATCGCTCTAGCAGCCAGCAGTCGCGGTAGTGGATGCGATCTGCAAGAAGAATTAGTTAAGCTGGCATAATTTGTACTATACAATAAATTGTCATGTACACTTAACGCTTTAATAGTTAGTTAGTTTTTGGTCATCATTGTCTAAATAGCGTCATTTTCATTGAACTACGGGAAAGTATTTTTCTTTTCATTGAACTATTACTTCTCGTATTAGAAGTTATCGTGGCAAGTAAGCCGGCTACTACAAGCGAATTATCTACAGTAACGGCAGTGTGGTTGTTTACAGTTGTAGGGCATATTTCCCCCGTGCCCGGCTGATATTTATCAGCTGCGTAAAGAGTTGGGTCGTGTGGTGCAAGTTTGTTGTTCTAAGGGCACGAGGGCTGGGGATTAGCAAAGCTTGAAGCCTAAATTAGGCCTCGCCAGAAATACACGCGTTTCGCCCATAGACCTTATATATTAGCTACAAACCTGAGCGGAGAGAGACTCTCTCCTCTTAGACGAATCATTCGTATATATAATAGCTACGCAGAGATGGCCTATAGCTGGAGAAGTGTTGAACAATTTTATATTTGCGTGTATATAGAATAATGCATTTTATTGACTGAAGGAACCCATAGCAAGATAAACTTGTATGGTTACGCCGATGACTGATTATATATAAACACATTACGAATTAGCCTTAACTACTTCATGCGACGAGTGATGCATTAATTGTGTGTCCGCATTGCGAGTTTGCGAGCTTGATTATCACACAGTTCATTAATCTTTGTATAAAAAATTTAATGTTTAAAATTAACTTAATTTTTTGCGAAAGATATAAAAGGAAATAAGACTTAAACAAATTTGGAGGCTAGTTTTTTAATTTTTCAGCAATGCTATGCAAAGGAATTATAACGAAATCATTTATTAAGTTAATTAATTTAGACTATTCCTAAACGCCGCGAAATAGACAGTGAATGGGCGAGAATTACATTGCGGTATGAAACAATTCATTGGATTATTAACGTTGACAAACTTTAATATAAAAACTAAGTTGCCAATATAAAAAAGTTTCGTATTTGTAAAATGAATAAGACTTGAAGCAACGATCGACTACACGACGACGACACTGCGACGATTTCGTACGCAAGACGTTAAATAAAAAAAAACCGACGTGAGCAAGAGAACAAAAGAGTTGATAAGAGTTCTAGATAAGCAGGAAAAGGCTCGAGGAAATAATTTCGAAACGTCGCCGTTTCTGTGTTTTGCGCCTGAATTTCCATAGCGAAGGGAACGGTATCGCTCTCAGCATCGCTGGCCACAACTGGACCAGAATGAGCCAACGGAACTAAATGACCTCGACAAAAATTTGCAGTGGAAATTAATTTATTTCCAATGAGTGAATTCTTAAGTCAAAAGGATCAAAACAAAAATATTTTTTTTGTTGAGATGGAGAGACGATTTTTAACGTTTGAAGATAAATAGAATAGTGAAACCTCATAAACTGAAATTTAGCCGCACGATAATCACACGTAAAGTCTCATGCAGAGAACTTAACCGACCGCATTGTTTACATAAATTCTCTTTGTAGGCCTTACCGACCAAAATATGGACATAAAATGCATCAGAACTGCCTAAAAATGGACTGCGAACCCCCACAGCACCGAATATGCTTGAAATAGGAGCGTTTAAATTAACCACAGAAGCTCCCTCCCCACAACCCAGGGCCATAAACGTGCGCTGGGCCATTAGCTTTCAACGCCGCTTTATCTGAGGCAATTGGTAGGCCCATTGCGCGGCTGTCCCCCAGCCTTCAGATGGCCCTGAGCCAAATGGAGACTCGGGGACTTAATGAGAATTGCCCATCTTTTTTGGCAAGTCAGAGGATTAATTAAAACGCCATATGACGTACCCTCGGACCCTCACTGTACTGGTTGGTTAGACTCTTCTTATTGCCAAGTCTGATGACCAGTGCCTTCCGCGCAGAGTGACGTTATTACCATAGTATTATTATTACCATAGCAGTATTACTACCACAACAGTATTATTACCATAGTGATGTTATTACCATAGCAGTATTACTACTATAGTGATGTTATTGCCATAGCAGTATTATTACCACAGCAGTATTACTACTATAACAGTATTATTGCCATATATAGTCACGTTATTACCATAGCAGTATTATAGAGCGGCTGATTGCGGGGAACAAGGATAATCAATCGCCCAGTGACTCGCTCTTTGGCGGTCCAGCTCTTCAATTGTTATGCTGAGTTTGGGGTTTGTAAATTCATTTGTTGCGTGTGGCCTCAATGACCCATTTCCGTTCATATCGTCATCGAAGATAACTACCATGATCATCGGTGCTCCTCAAACTGGTGCAAGGAAAACAAATTACTAATTTTGAAAGAGGAAATTTGTTATTCAGATTATCTCATTCTACAATCTACAGCAACACATTCGACAGTCAAATAAACGTGTGAAAAGTTGTTTATTTTTCGGGTATACAGAAATGATTGCAACGGTGAGCGAAAAAATAATAAAGGTAAATGGGTGGTAATATTTTCTGTGTGAGGCGTGCGAGACAAAGCGTCTTTGTGGAGGAGGCTCAACGCCTTTGTGAGGACCAAGTGGAGGAGCGGATGTGGGGTGCAGTGCAAGAAACGAACACATGCGCCCACCTCAATGCGTAATCGGCCTAGAGTTAGTTAAATCGAGCTTTTAGCAGGAAATAAGATTATTATGATCTCAAGGATATAACTCTTTGTTGCTTGATCAATTATTAGATAAAAAAATTCATTATTTTGCAATTGAAAGTGCTTATTGAAGGCTACTTCAACAGAGGCACTATAAGAGCGCCCTCGTTGAGTACAATTCAATAATGATAAAATTGCTAAATATACAGCTAACCATTATCATCATTAATCGAAATTCTTAGTGTTTCATCTTTCCTAACGTTTCAAAATAGAATATCCATTGTTGTACAAAAATCTGGTGGAATTCATTGTAAATTTGGTAGTCATAAATAGTCCGCTTTTCTGGCCGGTGTCAAGCCGAACCCAAAGAAGAATCGTTGCAGCAAGAATAGTCAGATTTCCTATACCAGCCTAACCGCACGGTGCTCCCGCTTCACCTGTGTTTGCCTAGCAGTTTTTTGGAAGGCATACCTGCAGCATCTTACCTCGGCCGCGGTCCTGCCCTCCTCTTGATCTGGCGTTGTGGTGGCTCGACGAGAGCGTGGTTCCCCTACCTGGAGCTCAGACGTTCTCCTGCTCGGCAGCTGTGGTCACGGTGGTGCTACACTCCTGGAAGCTACACTCCTTGATGCTTCGAGACGTCAGAGGTGAGGCTTGATTCTTGGCCAGAACCTGCTTACCTCGCTCCTAGCCAATTTTTCAAAGTTGGATGATCCTTTGGGACTGGACCGTTTATAATTTGTGAATTCCACCGATTTTTTTGTTGAACACTGATATTAATTAGCCATGTACTGTATTCAACCAGTTCTCAAGTTTGGGTTTGTTTACTTGCAGGCGTGTACCGTGTGATGTTCATGGCCAGCCATGGATGACCGAGCCAGCCGTTGATCCATCCTTTGAACTTAAATAAAGCCTGTTCAGTTTCTAGTAGCAAATTCTTTCTTATTTTCCTGATTCGTTGAAATTGGTTATGGTTAATAACTGAAGTCGGAAATTCAGTCATCTTCTATTACAAATTAAATTCAATATTCATTATTTTTGTATAATTGTTTATAATAAATTATCAATGCTATATGACACTTGAATGAATTAATAGTTCAGTTTTTCTTTGATTTATGTACGTTTAAGCATACAACTGCTTCTCAAATGTTCACAGTTCGAGCTTTGGTAATGCGAAAGACTTCTCACACGCAAGGCTGATCTTCTCTACAACTGCATCTAAACATGAACAAAAAAATGGAATGGCTGAAGAACCTAGCGCTCTTGTTTGAGAATTGTGTTTTTGCAGTTCTAATCGTTCATGGCACTGTATACTTTTTCTCTGCCACGACATGACACTCGATCGCTGGCTTTTCCTTTTGCATGTCATTAACTATCGATAGAATTGGAGTGGTGGTGCTGGTAGGGAGGTCATGTATGAACCTTTCATTTATGTTCATCGCTGCACATGGCCAAAGAAACTAATTCCCTGTTGATCAAAGCAAAAAGTGAGAGGATCTCGATTAGTTATATAATCAACTCATATCTAATAACCGAAGAGAGTGTAGCTGTAGCTCCGCGTGTAATAACGCAAGTTGCACACCCCTCATAGAACTAGTCGAAATTACCGTTATTTGTACAGCATCGTGCTGATGTCATAGCTTCATTCACAAATAATTGCCATGATCTATCTGAGCAATCGTGAATGGCACTATTTCCTTTCAGTGTTCCAAATTACGGAATAAGTCGTCAGGAAAGCTCAACATCGCTTATCAACCTTAACTTGTTATCTGATATTGTGGTAGTTTGCATTTCCGGCACTAGTACGGAAAACAGGCGTTGGCGTTAAAATTATTCAGTTATTTCGATCAGTAAGGCATTGACAAGAATTAGTTTCAATGGAAGAAATACCAAATGAATGAAAAATCAGAGTAAAGCGAATAAAAATATACTAAAATTAATCGTAAAACAGCTTTGTAGTCGCGTTTATCCAATTTGTTGATATATCCTGTAACTTACTATGTCACATTATTAAAGTAAGTTAAATAAACCAATGAAAAGTCTGCCCATTGAAGTTGACATAGAAATGACAGTAGAAAAATGTTTGGTAACAAATCACGATATTTTCGGTTTAGATTAGAGAGATCTATCTCGATGTTAAGATAGACGCTCAATATCTAAATCCTGAAGCGAATAACATGAAATATGGCAGCAACGGAACTCACGCCTACCTCACTTCGATTGTTCTTATTTCATGAAAAGCTGCAAGTCAGACAACATCGCTTTCTCCCGCAATGACTATCAGAGAGCTGCATGGAAGCGACTAACTACGCACCACGATAAGCACGAAATAATAAGCAACTGCGCGCACAAAAATCTGAAGCGAATGTCAGACGAACGAATACATACGAGAATCCAGATCTGTGCTGGAGCATCGCTTGTAGGGAAAGTTCCAGATTTTCCAGGTTTTTGCCTCATTTTTATGCACATTAGCGGACGGTTGAACCAAGCCCATTCATGACTGATGAACTCAAGCAATATACGTATACTAAACACGAGGCACACGATCCATTGATATTTCCATGATCTTTTTATTTAAATGACTACAAGGGGATACACACCCTGAATGAAACAGGAACTGGAAAGATAACCGCTACTTACTTGCACTAATTATTGAGAATTTTTCATTGCTAATCGATATCACTAAAGCAATAAGTAATCGGATTCTATTGACATTCATAACATAATTTGTAGTGACTGTAATTGTAAACTGATTTATTTTATCGCATAACAAAATGAACCACGTTAAACCCGAAATCAAACAATGTACCAACTGTTTTCATTCGCTAGAATCGCTGTGCAGCGCAACTTACGGCTCTATAGATGATTAAATTAAAAATTTGACATTTTAATCCTTGCTCAATCAGACGTAGAAAAGGCCAAACCTTAACAATTTGCTGCAACATTAATAATTAAGCATATAATTGAATAATTTGAACAATTAATTTTAAAGCCACACGAATGTTCCTCTAAATACTTTTAGCAGCCTTGCTCCGTGACAGGCTCTTATAATTTGACAAATATATTTGAAGAGCAGACGTGAAAGCTCTGGAGCGGCGCCGAATCTGCGGCGGCCACCCTGTTCACGGCCGGCCGGGATTGGCGGTAATTCCAATGAAGTTATGATCGACTCGGGGCGGCGGGGGAAATGTGGGAAGTAATTCTATTGTAATCATTCTATTAGAGTGCCTTGAGTTGTGTTTTTGGAAACGATAACCGCTCGAGATAGTGAGATGCGATTCATGTCCATGAATAACGATAAAATTTACGTATAGGTGTGAATTGAAATAAAAAATTTTCTGTGATAAACTCTAGATACGAATTTGGTTGAATTATCTATTACTTTTCTTTTTTAATATTAAAGAAGACAATTATTTTCCTATATTAGCATTACATATAAACGTGTTATCGATCAGAGAAGTAGTGTTCTGCCATCTGTTTCGCATATACGATTTTTTCGTTCAAACTTATTACATTGCTAACACTGTTCGAAAAAACGGTAAAAAAACGGGATCACCGGCATTATAGTGGCCGGTCGCCACGGGAAAATAAACCGTTTATCCGTTTTTTAAAATGTTATACCGGTTTATCGCGTCATATTTGAATAAAAACGGCCATTCGGCGTTTCTTTTCACGTGTCTGCCGTCCACTATACGCCGGCTAGACCGTTTAACGGTGATTTTTCTTACAGTGTAATATTCATGTTGAGACACGAACAACTGGAGAAATTCGCCCAGAATGAGATCACTCAATTTTAGAAACCAGTTTCAGGTTTATTTACGCTTTAATAGACGTGGGTGAGTAAATCTGGCGAGGGTAATGTGTAATAAAATCCGAGTATCGTGAATTGAAACGTTGGAGGAAGTAGGAGTTTCTGAAAACTTCAACCGACATTGCATTCTCTTTGCATGCAGGCACAGAAGTGCATTCGGGCGCAGCGCTGTTTCTTTGACTTTCACCTGATCTGAGAACTGGACCGAGTAACGCAATGTGCAGCTCGAGCTTGCCAGTGCATGAACAAAATTCCAAAAATCGTTTGCTGAAGGAAGCCTTTCAACATTTAACTGCTATCTTCATCATATATTTATTCGACATTTAACTGCTATCTTCATCATATTTTACTCCGAAAAATTGTAGGATTTCCATGAGTCGTCAGAAAGAGACGGACAAAAATTTATCGAATACACGGCCTGACGGATTTCAGTACGTAGTTGTCGTACGGTAGGTAAGAAAATTCATTTCGAATGCATGGGCCGTAAAAAGTAAGAACAGCCGCGAACATCGGCACGCACGGCCACTGAGAGACAGTACACTCATTAAAATGAATTTGTCACAAAGTCAAAATATCGCCACCTTTTCTGCTCGTCGCACTGACGTCCCCTTTTGTCGGTCCAAACTCGGTCAGGATGACCCACATAAGGACAAAAACTGCCTCGCTATTCGGACAATGCTACACTCATTTCTTCGAGTGGAACACAGCCAGCACTTCAAAGGGCAGAGTTATCACTAAGACCGCTTCAAGATAATTGCCGCAAGTTGCGAAAAGAAAACAGGTGGCATCTGGAGTTCTTAAGGGCGTCACTCTCCTTAATGCTCGTGTCGAGTCGTTAATCGAAGAGAAAATCACGACGTTGTCGCTACGTGATCACTGGCTTGCAAGAAACTTTAGTGAAAAACGCAGTAAAAACAGAGGAGCATTCAGGAGTGGAATGAATCATAGCAAGAACGAAACTGAATCTTAAGTGGGAATGATAATTAATTCGTTAGTTTCGTTCTGTAAAATCAGACCGCAATCGATAATAAATCATTAAATCATTCGCATACTATTGTCTGGGAATAGTTTCTGTAAAATGCTAAATATTACCTATAGATAAGTAAGACAATGATGGAGAACAGCAATGATGGAGAAGAGCAATGATAGAGAACAACAATGATTGAGAACAGCGATGATGGAGAAGAGCAATGATAGAGAACAACAATGATTGAGAACAGCGATGATGGAGAAGAGCAATGATGGTTCATGACGATGAATGATTTATTGAAGATACAGTAGCTGATACTAATTTGATTCTCCGATATGTATCTTTATAAAGGACGAAAAGAAATATTTAAATCATAGATATGATCAATATTGAAGTTAATATTTTCAAATGTGAATAATAATTTCAGAAACTATAATAACAGCAGAGAAGCACAGTACTCATTAAGCACAAGGAAGGATAATAGTTCAACAATAGCTCTCCAGCTTCAACATTGGACCAGAAAAAGATTGCGTACCTTAAACCTGATTAAAAATATATACTCCGAGTATCCAGGATACCCCTAGGCCTCCTGAGACGGTTAGAAGTCCGGCAAAAAATATTTAAGAGGCAGTTTGCTTTTAAATTGTAATCGTAAATGGGCAGAGCAGGAATCTGGACGTCGACTGGCTGCATTCCGAACACAATTCAAGATCAGTCCAGTGTCCACCTCGACTGATTTTTATTTAGATACACGTATAAGGAAGTGAAATTTTGCTAGAGAGATTGAAAACGTGAAAAAATTTAGCTAGAGAGCTTAGAAATATACATGAGTAGATGTGGATACTTATCTCTGCATATATTAAAAAAATTCCTTGCGAAAAGTAATAAAAGTGGTTAATTTTTAAATGTTTTGGTTCTATAATTCTTAGTTTAAAATTTGTTAATTTACTATCAAAATGAAAATTGTCAAGATACTATATGCGAATTTAACAATAAATTCATTAATTTGATTCCAATATAAAAAACGATGACAAAAATTCTTGAAACTAGATTGTAATCAACCTTGATAGCTCAATTTCTCGCACCACAACAATATAGCTGCAAAAGTAGTCTAAAAATGACCATTCTAACACGCAAGACAAAGACGCA